GGAGTTTAAGGATAATCAAATATTATGTGTTTCTTGTAGTAGTATTACTCTTGTGATTGTTTTTTGAAGATTTGAGAATATGTTAATTGACATGTGTTAGGTAATTGTCATGCATATGTGAAAATTTGTGTTCTTTAAGAAAATATGAAGCATGTTTGATATTGTTTCTAAAAACACTCGTAACCCGACCCGAAATCGAATAGGTTGGGTCAATATTTGACCTAAAATCAGCCAACCAAACATGACCCGACCCGTAATCAAAGTCCCCAACTTGAAATTACCCAACCCGACCAGATTGCCAAGTCTAGTAGTTTGGATGCAGGTTTCATGTGAGGGATTTGGCCACAATCTCAGACAATAAGGATTTTTAAACAAAATTACTCGTTTGGAAAACATTTAAGTAATCAAAGATTTTAAACATTCCAATTTTCAAAAACCGGTTCTCAGCTGTTTCACAATCCCTCAATATTTTACCCATTTGTTCCACTTATGCCCCTGTTTTTTTATGTAAATCCAACTTTACCCGTTCTTCCATTACTGTCGACCAGACTCTCCCCAAACAAATCGACGACGCGAAACTCTTTTTGGACGAACTCTTGTCTCGTCCGTTGAGGGCTACCGGCGGCGACCAAGCACCATTCCGATGCCGAGGAGAGTAGGGAGTTAGTTTCGGAGATCCACCGATTAGGGTCTGCATAAAAAACTCTTCCACATGTTAGTTAGAGTTGTGCATAAAGTTTTCGGATTCCGCCTTATGATATTAGGACTCTTTGTAGGCGTGTTTCGAGTTTGTTCTACTTGGCTGGTATCGACTAGATAAGTACTGAGGGGTAGGGGGGAGGGATATACATGTAGTTAGGTAGTGGTGGATTACCTCTAGGGGATCGTTTGGATTAGTGTTTGTAATTAGTGATTTGGGCACAATCTCTCACAATGAGAGATTTTAATTAAAATCACTCGTTTAGGAACTAAATTTTCAATTAAAAATTTTAAACATTCGGAATTTCAGAAACCCACATTTATGGGTTTGTGAAATATGACCACCAGCTATTCTGAAATCCCTCAATATTTTGTCAATTTATTCCATATATGCCAATGCTATTTTTATGAAAATCCAACTCTAATCCTTCGTAACTCTGTCTGTCCTTCAATTCTGTCTCTCTGTCGCGGCGTAGGGAAGCGGCTGTCGTCGATTGCTGATAGGCGGCGACTCAGCTTCGCAGCGCAGGGAATCTGCGGCGACAAACCCTTCTTGCAGCCGGTGAGTCAAGGAACCTTCATTAGCCGTTCTTCCTCCTTCGCTCCTCTTCGGGTTCTGGGATTGTAGCTTGATTGTGGTTGTTTCGCAAAGTAGAGAAGAGGTACCAAATCTTCTCGTCTCGTTGTTCTGGGTTTATGGCTTCCTCGTGGCTGCTTGCTCCGATTTGTTTGTGGCGGCAGCATTGCAAGTCTTTGTTTTGACCCTTGCTCCGATTCTGAGTTTATATATATGCTTCAAGCTGCTTCTTGTGTTATTTCATCCCAAATCCCTCTCAAATCACTCGAATTAAAAACATTAATCCAAACGACCCCTAGGTGGTTTGTGCGTCTGTTCATGGAGTCTCTTCCAATCTGCTTATTGGGAAACCATTGTGAGACTTCATGTGAGGACAACTGGGTTAGTTGTAATGATCAAGAATAACAAGGGATAGAACTCCTCAGTTTTTATTTTGGTGGTATGGATGGACTTGACTGAATGGATTAGACAGCGAGAAGGAAAGATGCATGTCCTGGGAAGTGAATAAGATGTGTTTTTAGGATCAATGAATTCAAAATTATGAATTTTGTGAGCTAGTTGGGTTCTTTATCTAATTATTCCTTCGCTTCATGTCAGGCTCAGTTGATAGTCCTTGGAGGAGATAGCTTCTTCATAGATGTTCACTCTACGTTGGGCATTTTGATCCCTCCCACTGAAGACAATGATTTACTGGAGCAGAGTTGCTCAATCTCAGCTGAGACTTCTATTGCATCAGTGGCCCAGACATTATTTCAAAATTTCCTATGCTTCCTCTCTTGTTCGCAATGCTAACTTTCACTTGGGTGCGTTTGCGTGGGGAGACCGTTTATCAGGAATTGATGTAAGGCCTGGTGAGTTTTACTACAATACCAGGTTCTTCGCTTCTAGCTATTCTCAGGTATAGTTTTGCCCCTCAAAGTCGATTCCTTTGCTGTCAAAATTCTGTTTTTTGTTGGTTTTGGGCTTTTGTGTTTTAGTGGGATTTCTGTTGAAATAAGAACTATTGACTACATCACTTTCTTTCATTCTCAGGTTAGGGGAAGGAAGGAAGACGAAAACACTGGTGAGCCCCGTCTTAATGGGCACATTACAGGCAACATTGTAAGGCTTGTGACTGATTCAGGTGGGTTAGTAAAAGAAAGCAAGGACCAGGATACCGTACCGGACCGGCCGGTCGAACCGGAAAAACCGGAAACCGGAGGTAAACCGGCACAATAGAGCTTTGTACCCTTCAATAACCTGCCGGGCGGTATTTGCGGTTGGACCGCAATGGGCCGAAATTTCGGCCGGTTTAAAAAAACCCAGCGGTCCCTTCATTTTACACAAACGGCGCCGTTTTAATGAAAAGAAAAAAAAACGGAAGGCAAGGGAAGCAGAGACGCAAAAACCCTACCTTCCTTTGGCTGGCCCTGCTAACGCCCTCTCTGCCTCTCGTCTCCCTCTCCCAGCAGCGCCGCTCTGCCTCTAGTCTCCCCGCGCCGCGCCGCTCTCCCTCCCCAGCAACCGGCGATCAACACCACCGGCGACCGCGTCCTCCCCAGCAACCAAACACCATCGGCAACTCGTCCTCCCCAGCAATCGAAGGCATCGTCGTTCACAGCCGCGCCGCGCCGGAGGAGAAACCGAGAAAGAGGAGCTTCGTTGGTCGTTCACAGCCGCGCCGCGCCGGAGGAGAAAGAGGAGCTTCGTTGGTCGTTCACTGGCTGGTTTCTTCCTCCTTCCGTCTCCCGCGGCTCCAAATCCCTAGTGGCGGTGGTGGTGTAGCTGTACCAGCTTCGTTGTCTCCGCCGTCGACGTCGTGCCAAGGGAAGAGATAAGGATTTCCTACCCTGCGTTCTTGTGCCGCCAGTGGGACAACCCTGTCAGCGGGATCACCATCGCCTTAAGGTGGAGTTTACTTCTGCTCTTCCCCCTTTCCTTTTCCTCTCATGCACCATACTAAAATCGCTTCAATTGCTGGGTATTCGTTGGGAAGATTTTCAGAATTCGAATTCCCTTCTCCTTGGTGGTAGTTTGATTGCCTTGTCCATTTCCTTGCTCTGATTCCATGTTCTGTTGTGATGTTTGTTTCCAGTATTCATGATTTACTGGCTCAATAGATTAGTTGATCTTAAATCGCGGAGTCTTGGTTGCAATTGGGTGCCTTATAGCATAAATTGGTGTTTTAATCATGTTCCGTAGTTGAGCTTTCATGTAAGAGTTGAACTTCCATATGAGGATCTCCTTCACCATCTTGGCTAGAATTATTTGATAATGAATGCCCAAAACCAATACTCGTTTAGGTTTTACATGCCACTTTGTTGAATGTTCCCGCTTATTTACTCTTTTACAGTTTCTTAGGCGGTATAATCCGGTATTATTCCGATATTTTCCCGGTATGGTACCCTAATTTTATCGGTACGGTTTTTTAACAGAAAAATAATTTTTTTATTCCAAAACTCTTCCACCGATTAGGGTCTGCATAAAAAACTCTTCCACATGTTAGTTAGAGTTGTGCATAAAGTTTTCGGATTCCGCCTTATGATATTAGGACTCTTTGTAGGCGTGTTTCGAGTTTGTTCTATTTGGCTGGTATCGACTAGATAAGTACTGAGGGGTAGGGGGGAGGGATATACATGTAGTTAGGTAGTGGTGGATTACCTCTAGGGGATCGTTTGGATTAGTGTTTGTAATTAGTGATTTGGGCACAATCTCTCACAATGAGAGATTTTAATTAAAATCACTCGTTTAGGAACTAAATTTTCAATTAAAAATTTTAAACATTCGGAATTTCAGAAACCCACATTTATGGGTTTGTGAAATATGACCACCAGCTATTCTGAAATCCCTCAATATTTTGTCAATTTATTCCATATATGCCAATGCTATTTTTATGAAAATCCAACTCTAATCCTTCGTAACTCTGTCTGTCCTTCAATTCTGTCTCTCTGTCGCGGCGTAGGGAAGCGGCTGTCGTCGATTGCTGATAGGCGGCGACTCAGCTTCGCAGCGCAGGGAATCTGCGGCGACAAACCCTTCTTGCAGCCGGTGAGTCAAGGAACCTTCATTAGCCGTTCTTCCTCCTTCGCTCCTCTTCGGGTTCTGGGATTGTAGCTTGATTGTGGTTGTTTCGCAAAGTAGAGAAGAGGTACCAAATCTTCTCGTCTCGTTGTTCTGGGTTTATGGCTTCCTCGTGGCTGCTTGCTCCGATTTGTTTGTGGCGGCAGCATTGCAAGTCTTTGTTTTGACCCTTGCTCCGATTCTGAGTTTATATATATGCTTCAAGCTGCTTCTTGTGTTATTTCATCCCAAATCCCTCTCAAATCACTCGAATTAAAAACATTAATCCAAACGACCCCTAGGTGGTTTGTGCGTCTGTTCATGGAGTCTCTTCCAATCTGCTTATTGGGAAACCATTGTGAGACTTCATGTGAGGACAACTGGGTTAGTTGTAATGATCAAGAATAACAAGGGATAGAACTCCTCAGTTTTTATTTTGGTGGTATGGATGGACTTGACTGAATGGATTAGACAGCGAGAAGGAAAGATGCATGTCCTGGGAAGTGAATAAGATGTGTTTTTAGGATCAATGAATTCAAAATTATGAATTTTGTGAGCTAGTTGGGTTCTTTATCTAATTATTCCTTCGCTTCATGTCAGGCTCAGTTGATAGTCCTTGGAGGAGATAGCTTCTTCATAGATGTTCACTCTACGTTGGGCATTTTGATCCCTCCCACTGAAGACAATGATTTACTGGAGCAGAGTTGCTCAATCTCAGCTGAGACTTCTATTGCATCAGTGGCCCAGACATTATTTCAAAATTTCCTATGCTTCCTCTCTTGTTCGCAATGCTAACTTTCACTTGGGTGCGTTTGCGTGGGGAGACCGTTTATCAAGAATTGATGTAAGGCCTGGTGAGTTTTACTACAATACCAGGTTCTTCGCTTCTAGCTATTCTCAGGTATAGTTTTGCCCCTCAAAGTCGATTCCTTTGCTGTCAAAATTCTGTTTTTTGTTGGTTTTGGGCTTTTGTGTTTTAGTGGGATTTCTGTTGAAATAAGAACTATTGACTACATCACTTTCTTTCATTCTCAGGTTAGGGGAAGGAAGGAAGACGAAAACACTGGTGAGCCCCGTCTTAATGGGCACATTACAGGCAACATTGTAAGGCTTGTGACTGATTCAGGTGGGTTAGTAAAAGAAAGTAGTGAGTTCCAATTGTTGTCAGATGAGTGAGTCAATAATATTGCAACAGAGCCATTGGGGTTGATAGGTCATGGCCTTTTTTTCTGCAGGGCACAATGTTGTTTCACTGAGTGAAGCACTAGAACAAGCGAAGAGAATGAATCTTGATTTGGTTGAGGTCAGTTCTGGTATCGGTTTGTTGTGTTACCAACCTTGAGTTCCCTGCATTATCATGTTTCTCAAAAGCTATTCCCATAAAAGCAGCTTTGCTGGCTTCAATGACTTTTTTCTTCTTTTCCTTTTCCTCTTTGTAAGAGCACATACACTTTTTAACTTGATTTCCAGTTGTAATTATGCAGTCATTCCCCTTTTTTAGCGGTTGCTTGGTTAGATATTGGGATATAATGGAATTTACTTGATTTTCAAAGGATAAGTGAGAATACATGATTTGTCTCGCAAACCTATGTCAGGAATATGTACCAGTTATACCAGTTGGATAGTTTTGAATTGGAAAATTATTATGAAAAAACTTGATTCCTGTTTTGTATTAACTGTTCTGTAATGTATGATTACCTGTGACCACTTGGTGACTTCTGCTTAAGTGGCATAAGGCTGGTCCTTTGTGTTCCTTCTTTGCTTAATTTGATCCTTATGCATGTTGTGCCATGATTCAGCGTGTTATCACAAGACAACTTCTTCCAATTGTGTTTGGCCTCTTCTTTACAATAAGTTTCTATGCATTAGGTTAGACTTTTATGATTGATATGGGTTTTCCTAGAGTATTTCTTGAATGAGAAGTAGGAAACGGAGGGTTGTGCTTTGATAGTAGCGGGAATTATGGAAAAGCAAGGGAAGTTCAGTGCGCATCAGATATCTTATGAACTCTCAATCGGCACCTGCTTGATTGTTTTCATTAATGAATCAATGATGCTCGTAACTTGGATGGCTATAATTTGAGCACCAGGTTACTCCATCTTATGTAGATGTGGAGATCCTCTTATTACTCTTAAATGCAACTTTGTAAGGTACTTTAGGGAGCTTTTATTCTCCTCACGCTAAGTGGCTATTCCTAGGTTCAAAGGACTGCTGATCCACCCGTTTGTAAAATCATGGACTACCACCGGGAGAAATATGCTCGAGATCGAGTTCAGAAGGAAAAAGAGCGTGCTAAAAGTAAGGTATGGTGTCTTATCAATTCGAATTTGTCTCATATAAGAAAGTCATCGCTGCAGTTTTTGTTTTCTGGTGCTTTTGTTGTCCACTTTACTTGGTTTGAGAAAACTTTGGTGCTTTATTCGCATTTAGTTTTTGTTAGGCTGTTTCTTTTGTACTGGCTCCATTAAAAAACATAATCATAGGAACCTTGCCTTTCTGTTGTAAAAGTATAATAAAATGTTCTAGGGAGTTCAAGATATCTTATAAAATGAAATAAATGGAAGTACTTTTTGATGAATTTTGGAAGTGTTCAGTTTTCTCTTGAAAGTCTGGAGGAGTTTTGTAGGTTAATTTGTGCTGTTTCCCTCATGAGATGACAAGAACCTGCACCGTTTCTTAATGTCCTTCCCAAACATTGCTGAACTTGGCAACGTTTGAAATTTCATGCAGTCAGATGTGATGTTGAGAAAAGGAGCTTGCAAGGAAGTTCGATTTACCAAGAAAACTGTAAGTCATTTCTGGCCACTTTTCCTAAACTTCTAGTTATCTGAAATAGTAAGGTGGCATTGCTCCATGGAAAAATTGTATAGATAGCCCAGAATAATATGTATGCATTTATGTAGCAGTGCAAATCTATCCCGTTAAAATCTCGTTCTATACTGCTTTTTTCAGGAACTAAAAGATTTGAAAATGAAAGCAGATTCTGTGAAAAGATTGATGGAGCGTGGTTACCGGGTGAAGGTATTTCCCACCGCTAAAATCTCACTTTTGTTCATTCTTGTGATTCCTGGAACACATCTCTGGACTGCCTGCTATTTTTCTTCTAGATTAATAATCTGGTGTTGGTGGTCTGGTCCCTTAATCTAATTGATAGCACCGTCACCATTATTCTCATTTATAGTTTGTATTAATAAATTTGATTCAGTGTGTGGCTCTGCCTTCGGCAAGGAAGTATGAGGAGCAGGAGGATTTAGGAGCATTGTTATCCAATCTCACTGATTTGGTATGATGCATCTCTGTTTCATATTTCCCCTGGTACTCTATCAATGTCATGTGATAAACTCTTTCTTGTGGGCATTCATCTACAGCTTGAAGACACAGTTGTGGAAAGTGGACCATTGTTGGAGAGAAAACAGGCGTACATTATAGTTAGACATATCAAATTTGGTCCATCCAAGAAAGGAACAAAAAAGATCAAGGATGCATATGCCCCTTCTTCAACTCACACTTCTGATACATCTATAGTAGATCCTGCTGAAACCGAAACTGAAATGGAAGATGAAATCCTTTTGAATAAGGATTATGTTCCGGATACAGGCATGCTGGACAATCGTTCCCCTTGGGCAGTAAAAGATCCAGCGAGTAATACTGTTGGTGTTTCCAATATTCCTAATACTAATGATGCAAATAGACATAGCATGGATCGAGCTATTGCAGGAAGAGCTTCCAGCTTGACCTCCAATGCTCCGAAGTTCGATGATCCCAGACAAAGGCATGCTCCAGAAACAGCAGAGATGGAGGTTTCAGCTGGTATACCAGAGCCCACAACTTTTGAAAATAGGTATAAAAGAAGTGAACCAGCAAACAACCGTTTGAGATCTACATCAGTGGATAGTAATAGATCTCAAGAGGGAGGCTCTTTCAGGTTTGAACCACAATCTTCAAGAAGTCGACAAAGATCTGATTTTAGGCGAGAACCTTCTTCACCTTCTGCTCCAGGTAATGAAGCACCTGGGTTTGGTGTATTTAGCTCTCCAAGGGGAGGTGGGCAGTCAGAAGCTAATAACAGCAGCAACAACAATGTAGGAAACCGTTATGGCGCTACCCGGAGGTATTAGAACTGAATTCAAACCCTCTTGAGGCCTCAAATGGTACCAGGCCCTGATGATGATGATGATGAAGGAAGGGGATTTGTGATGTCTTGGTGAGGTGGCAGTGGTCAGTGAGCCTTGAGGTCAGTTTGTAGAGTGCCATATGCAAGGAATAAGCTTAGCATCGGAAAATAACAGCCTTGGCACAAGCACTTCTAGTTCTACAGGATGCCAAAGTTGGAGAGTCCAAACAATTGATTGACTGACAATTCATCTCTAGTTTCACTAGCAGTTTTAGTACAAAAAGCCAAATTTTATTGCTCTGATGTTTACTGGGTTATATACGTATTGCTAAGTTAATTTTGATGGATCATACAGTTGCGGAATAGATGGAGGAATGAGGATGTATTCCACATGGCTTGTGTAGATGCATCTTTCCAGCTTGATATTCTTCTCAGGTTATTAGCTTGAGTAGACAAGGTTAAGGTCTCAATGGCTTTTGTTTCTCCATACCAACAATCTTAATGCAGAAACCGCTACAGCGTACAAGTATGAGGATGGTTTGGGTAGTTTTGGGAAGCTGGATGGTTGATCTTTGATGTATATCAAGTATATTGCCTAGACACCAGTAATTTGCCATCTGAATACGAGTTGAGTAATTATTTCTTTGTTACTCAACTAAACGGGTTAATTCCATAGTTGGTCACTGAGATTTGAGATTACTCAAATTTGGTCACTCGAAATATTTAAATCTATTGGTGCTACTTCAGTTTACTGAAACATTTAATGTTTGGTCACTCTTCGTCCAACTCTGTTAACTTTGGCTGATGTGGTAGTCAACTCTCAAATTTGACCATTCACTTAGTGACGTGAAAATTAAAAAATAATAAATAAAATAAATTTAATATATTTTAATGTACAACTCATTTTTACCATAAAATAAAAAAATTATAATTATTAATTATTATCAAGGTAAAAGAGTCACCCGACACCACTTCCCTCCCCCAAAATCACTTCTTCTCCGCTCTTCCTCCACCAATTCCCTCCGCCATGCAATCTTAAAGATCATTGCGAACCCTGGATCCTTCACCCCGAATCAAATCTGCGATGAGGTCCATAACCGTCGTTCTCAGAAGGCGGCGACGCGTGGTATATTTTTACGGTTCCAATGCACCTTGAATTGGGTTTGAGAACTTGCCAAATACCATTAGGACTCTATTAAGTACATTGCTTCTTACCCGCTCCAGCACTTCAAAAGGTGGAGTTGTGCACTTGTGCAGTTGTGCTGCACTCTGCAGATTTCTCCTTGCGAGCTTGAGATTCGTCATGAAATCGTTCGTCGACAAACTATTCCCCTGCTTCTCTCCTGGTGAGCGGCAGACAATCTGGGATCGGCTGCCGGAAGAGTTATGGACGAACATCTTTGGAAGACTGCCATATAGATCCTTGTTGCAGTGCCTCTTGGTCCAAAAGTCTTGGTTTCGTCTCATTACAAGTCCCCACTTCGTTTCCGCTCACCTCACCAGAATACTGGGAACTCCGACGGTCGGCGGCAACCCCGAGCGGAGAAGTGATTGCGGGGAAGGGATGTGGTGTGGGACGGCTCTTTTAATTTCATAATTAATAATTATATTTATTTATTTTATAGTAAAAATGAGTTGGACATTAAAATAGATTTTATTTTATTTTATTTATTATTTCTTAATTGCCACGTCACTAAGTTAACGATCAACTTTGAGAGTTGACTGCAACATCAGCCAAAGTTAACGGAGTTGGACGGAGAGTGACCAAATGTGAGGTTTCAATAAACTGAAGTACCACCAGTGGATTTAAATATTTCGAGTGACCAAACTTGAACGTTTTTTGTAATCTCAGTGACCAACCATGCAATTAACCCTCAACTAAAGTCAACACAGCCTTTTTTTTCCTTTCCCTCGTTGTGATCTCCCGCCGCTATCGAATTCAACATATAGAGACTACTACGGGTCAGTCCGTCATCCGTGGTCTTCTTACCAATTTTGACCTTATTAACGCCCGTCACAAAAAAAAAAAAAACACAACGATGAACAAGAACTCTGCCATACATCTTTGTTATTCGAGGTAACCGTAACACCTTGGGTCAACTTAGCTAAGGAAATGAGGTAGAAGAAGAAGAATTGCAGAGGAAATTTGTATTTGTATTTCTCATGATTGCAACAACCCACAATGGATTATGGATACCTAATATAATACCTTAAGTATCCTTTCTCGGGTTGACAACTGTCAACCACCAGTTCATCTACACTATTACAAAGAACTCCCTTATTTTCTAATCCTTTACATTTAAGACCAACTATTACAAGTCCCACTCCTTCGGAATAGACTTGGCCTCAAGTTTGAAAATTTGGAAATCTCTTCTTCAATTCAGCTATAAACTCTCAAGTAGCATCTTCCTCCCGCAGATGAGACCACTCCACCAAAAGTTAGGTAACAACCTTGTTGTTCTGAGCAACCACTCTCCTAGCAAGCACTGCAACTGGTTCTAGTTTAAGATTTCCACTTTGCTCCATCTCTGGCAATGTTGGTTGAGCTTTAACCTAGGATCCTCTAACCTATTTGAGTTGTGACACATGGAACACATTATGGAAGTCGCAATTTATATGCTACCGTACCAACTGTTTGTAACACCATAAAAGGTCTCTAGAACTTAGGAGCTAATTTTTGGTTAGCCCTTTGTTCCACAGAAATTTGTCTACAGGGTATGAGTTTCAAATACACCCAATCACTTTCCTTGAACACCCTCTCCGTTCTATGCTTGTCTGCATTTGTTTTCGACAATTCGGTGCTCTAGCCAGGTTCCACCTTAGGAGCCCAACCAATCTCGGCTGCTCTCCAAGTTTGTCTGCTACTGTTGGGTGGGATATGATTCATCCGCTCTTGGTCATGAGGGAGAGATGATTGTTTGCAAAAGAATTACAAAAGCTTGGTGCAATGCACGTCAACGTTGAAAAGGGAGACCAATAAACGACAACTCCTAATCGTAAGAAAGAATAAAGAGCACCTTCGAGAGTTATTGTGCTTGTTTGTTGTTTAGAATCCCTCGGTGCACACCTTGAATGTTCAGCCTAAGGTATTAAGTATGGTCCTCACTCGAGACTTTGTGCTTGCACAATAAGATGATAGTAACGTTCATTCATCTCCGTCTACTCTTCTTTATGCAATGAAGAACTAGAGTGCATTCCCCATTGATTTGTCTATCATGTTACATTAGGTTTGAGTAGGTTTGCTTGGGGACAAGCAAACACCTAAGTGTGGGGGAGTTTGATAACACCTAAATTGGTGTTATTTATCCTTCATATTGAGGTTTGTTTCGTGCCAATTCATGTGCATAATTGCTTGAATATCGTCGATTGCATCCCTATGTCCTTCCTATTTGAATTCGATGTTATTTTAGGATATTTTAGACGATACATGTGAATTAGGTATAAACAAGGTCACAAGTGTAGCAAGGGGGCAGAAGAATGAAGATCGTGGCCTAGAAGTGAAGATCACGGCCGAGATCATGGCCTGCAAAGTCAAGCTGAAGATAGCGGCCGCGAATTGGTGGGCTCAGGACGCGAACTTCATGAAGGAGCCGAGGAGAAATAGAATGTTTCCTCAATCGGATCACGACCATAGTGCATTTCGACCACGAGGAAGATCACGATCGCGCCTCATGGATCGTGACCGTGAAGTCTGTTAGAAACCCAATTTTGGTGGGTTTCTCTATTTATTTATGGTAGGATAATTATCATTATAGTTAGTAGAGATTTAGTAGAATTAAATTATTGGTTAGGGTTTACCAGTATTTTCCTATAAATATGTAATCTCCATTTCATTATGAACCAATCAAGGAAAATATTAAGAAAAGTATCTCTCCCAAATCTCTCCCAAAACCCTCTCAAATCTTGTCTATCTCTCCCCAAGGCCGCCGACCTATTCTTCTTAAATCTCCCCAATTCTGTTCTCCAATCCCTAAATCTCCAAATCTATTTTTAAATCACTAATTTCTTATCCTAACCCCTAAATTCCTCTCTGTTACATATAAGCGTGGGTGCCGAAGATCAGTCGCCAGAAGCCCTAAGAAGTGGGTTTCTAACAGTGGTATCAAAGCCCAGTTGCAGGCACTCGTACCAAACACATGTCGATATTTGAAGGGCTCTCACTCAGAGAACTAACCATGGTTCTTAGAATGAAGTTGGAGGCTGCGAGAATAGAGATGTGTCCAATCCCACCTCCAACCGCAACCGTAATCAAACTGTTGGTCGCTGAAACGGATTTTGAAGATTGGTTGGAACAACCGGCGTTCCCAATCGAGTAAGAGCAAGGGGAAACCACCACCGCTGATAAGACCGAGAAAGAAGCTGCTGCAACGGCTGTCCTCTTTGCGACATCACCATCAACAAGAGTTCCTTCACCCATTGAGACAAAGACAGAGTTGGCGAGTCTCGGGAGGCGGAGCCGCGTATCGCGAAAGAATCTCCAACACCACCAGTCGGCGTGATGAAGATCATGGGGTGGAGCAGGCCTAACCTTGTTGTTGTGGAAACAGCGGATCTTGTTGTCCCTGTTGTTGTTCCAATCAAGGAGAGGGAATTTATTTTTGGAGAACACAATGCTAAAGTTGAAGGTAGGAGGTTAATGCCAAGTTGATGACTCGATATATACACATGTTTTGTCCACCATTCTTATACCGTATGAGTCTCATTTCTGGTATTTTAGGCTGATTTCACGCTAGGTTGTTCTTGCTTGTGATATTTCAGGTCCTAGTACGTGAAGGAAGGTTTGGGCACGAGTTCGGGGTCGATTGGACGAATTTGGGACGTTTGACGAAAAGCTGAGGAAACCACACGGGCTGACCTAAATTCCACACGGCCGTGTGGAACCCCTTTGCGCGGGCAAAGCTACACTGGCCGTGTAAGGGCCCTTTTTGGCTGTGTGGGATTTCCAGAGAGTTCACACGGGAAGACCTAAATTCCACACGACCGTGTGGTTTTGGCCATGAAGCGTACCTGGAGTCACTAAATCGAACGCGACATTTTAGAGAGCCACACGGGCAGCTGGGGACTTCACACGGCCGTGTGATCGGGCATAACTGTTTTTTTAACCCAATTCCGGGTCTTTGAAGAGGGGGACGATTTTCCATAGCAAAAACAGAGTCCTAGAGAGAGAAAAGTGTGAATAACAACCCCTAGGAGTGATTTTGGGGCTGGTTTCATCAATCAAGCTTGGATTTCATCCTTGGAGTGAAGATTATCATCCCAGAGCATATTCTTCCCATTGATATGAGTATGACTATTTTGTATTGTGTTTTCCTCTCTCTCTCTCTCTCTATGGAGTATAACTCTCTCTCTCTCTCTCACTTGGGTATGTAGAACCCTAGTTCCATGTGTTAGGGATATTGACTGTAATGACTTTTGGATTGGTATATTGTGCGATTATAATCGATTGATGCGTGATTCATTGAGTCAATTGAAGCCTGATCAACTTTTCTTGATTTCTGCTGCAACTTGAGATAGGTAGAATATGATTAGGTTGTTAGAGCTTCTTCAATCGGTAGTAGTGTATCGATTATACGAGAGTTAGTCGATTCACTGCTTTGTAATGGAATCCAATTCCAGTAGTGGAGTTCTGTGTTAATTGCCTCAGCGTTTTATCCCGGTGAAGACAAGTCGTCTGCCGGGTAGTTTGTCTGAGAGGGCTTGGTCAGCTTAAGAGATTCCAAGCTACTATCGGATCTTCGGCAGTTTAATCAACAGTAAATCAACCAAAGGAAATTACAATTTTGACCTAACTAAGGAGCTAGGGGGACTCATTCCCGAGTGACTCTTCCCTTGCTTAAGAACTTCAAACCATTTCCTACTTTCTTACTGCTTTTGTTTCAATCACTCTCACTACACTTACTCCCACTAGATAACAGGTAGTCACAGAGTAGGCAGTAGATCTAGACCCCGGGTTGATAAATTGAACTTGCCACTATTCTGCATTTCCATTCTGCGTGTCAAGTTTTAGCGTGTCAAGTTTTTGGCGCCGTTGCCGGGGACCTCTAGTTTATTGTAGAAACGTGAAAGTCTGTTACTTTAGCATTTACTTTTATGCATCCTATCTTTTCCACCCTTGCTTTTCACTTGGGTATTTTGTTTTTGTTGGTGCAGATCTGATATATGGATCCTCATGGCTTCTCCAACCATTGGGGTGTCCACCACCACGAGAGTGGTATTACCCCGAGACTTCTTGGAGCAACCAAGGAGGAGAAGACTGTGGAGTCAGGTTTCAGTACCAACCCTCCTAAAACGAAGAACAATCAGACCCCTGGGTATTTCAAGAACAATCTCATTATCAAGAAGCATTCTTCCTACAACTAGAAGGGCCATCAGATCTTGATTTAGCCACAGCCCTCATGGGCCATCCGGCAGAGCCATGCTACACTCCACAGCCAGATCCAAAATATCACTTGAGGCTTCTCGTGGAGCAGATTGCTCGAGTACCTGAGAGATCCTTTCCCGAGATGGATCCTCATATCCAGGCCATTGCCCAAACTGACTTCTCCTTTCCCCGTGAAACAGAGGAGACCCTTGGGAGAATCAAGAAGCAATTAGCAGTCATTGAGAAAGCTTATGCACAGTTTTCTCAAGACAACCTTTAATGTACCATACAAGTAGAGGAGGAGGAATAAGAAGGCAATCATGAGGATGTTGAGGAGCATACAGAGGTTGTCACAGAAAGCTCCCATGATAATCATGATCAAGTGTATCCTCTGGTGGTAGATCACAACTTTTCCCATTTCCGCTATGACATGCTGGGCCCGAGCGAGGAGATGTAAGATGATCTCATTGAAGAAATTACATGGCGACTTGCTCTCCAATCTGTGCTAGAAGAATAAGAGCGAGAAAGGGTGAGGGAAGAAGTTGTGGAGGATGAGGAAGAAAGAAAAGAAGAGGAAGTTCTTGATCTTTTCCAAGGGGAGAGACCACATTCTGATGAAGGAAGGGGGTTGAAGAAGCAAGTGGTGTATAGGCCGAGGATGAAGTAGAGGTGGAAGAGGCATGCACCGGCCATGAGTTACATGTGATATCTCCACCAAACTTCGAGGAGCTGCTTGGAAAGGACCCATTTGCAGTGTCTCTTTGCCAGACCAAGACCACATCAACATCAATCCTCCTTGGTGGATGTGATGGTGGTCAATTGATGGTATCTTATCTGGTTTGGGGCAATGAGACAAGAGAAGATGCGAAGGAGAGGTCTCGAGAGTGGAGACTTCATCTTCCTCAATGCCATGAGCCATCTTCGTCACCTATCACATCCCCTGCTCGTGACTTGAGACTCCACCTCATTAATGAGAACCTCAATTTCTAAGAGGTTTTGTGGTGGACCAAGACTTAAGAGCCACCGTCCGGCTCACGATGTAAAAGAAGCGCTTGTTGGAAGGCAACCCCACCACGGTTTGTTTTTATTTTGTTTGTTTTCGGTTTCCACTTGGAACTTTGGTTTTTATCACCCAGTGTGTTTTGATGACTCTAGCTTTGTGGACTATTCCATCGTTTCGTCTGTACCTGATGACTGATCCATTTCCAGTCCCCCGACAGTCCGTTTTCCTGGTAACATCTTTCCCCTTATCTTTTCCTCTGCTCCATTGAGGGCAATGTCGTGCTTAAGTGTGTGTGTGTGTGTGTGTGTGTGTGTGCGCGCGCGCGCGCGCGCGCGCAGAGGGTGTTGATCTATTTTTGACTGCTAGATGAGTTTGTGTGCTTGGAGCCTAGTCCACTGTCCAATTTGATGAATTGAGGGCTCCAAGTACTGTTCCCTACAATACCCTGCTCAGTATGCTTTGAATTGATAGCCTTTGTGGTAATATGCAACCTAGGGAGGTAGTTGTAGCACTATGGAGGATGTTGAAGTATAATATTTTTCCTATCTATTTCTCTGCTGTGTCGGTTGATTTTGTGAACTAGTGGATTTAGGACTGTTGATTCATGTGATATTGATGACTCCTCTTATGTTGTGTTGTGGACTCGTGTATCGAAAAAGGTGCTCAAGTGTGAAATGAAAAGGCACTTGGTCCTCCATGTCAAAAATTTGAAATTTTAATACATGGGGTAAGCCCAACTTGTGTGGCACCGCTCATTGCACAAAATCGGGTTTTGGAAGAGATTTTAGTGATCCTTGGTGGGGTAGGCCTACAAGGTGAAGCTAAGTCGTCTCTAGTACGAGTAAAATTTCCACCCTTTGAACGGTTTGCCTACTCGAGGATGTGTTTTTAAGGGCACGGATAGAGCTTCCGACACCCCTTAATTTCATTGACCCTCCACACGAAGTGAGGAATAAGATTTAAAAGAAGTACTCTGGCAAGCGACGGATGTAAAGAAATTGCTCTTGCTCACCCAATAAGGGCAGACCACGCATAGAAACTGCAGTTGGAACTCCAGTAAAGTAAAACAAAAGAAAAAGGAACGAATAATAAGAATAAGGGGTTCCAACAAGTGAGATGAAATGAAAGAGCACCCGATGTCCCGATACAATGTGTCATTGGTTGTTGAATTGTGTGAGTCTCCTTATCCATGAATTGGTTGTCTTAGTTCCACTACTTCTCATGATCCTGGATTGAGTCTAGTTCTCGCATTGAGAGAGATAGGGGATGTCTTAGAAGAACAGTTGACCTCCTAAACTGCTAATTGATCTAGGAAATCCTTTGCCAACGATCGGGGTTGCATGTTGCTATAGAGGTATGGAGAGCTGCATTGGTTTGAGTCAGGTTTGCTTGAGGACAAGCAAACGGTTAAGTGTGGGAGAATTTGATGACTGGATATATACACATGTTTTTGTCCACCATTCTTATACCGTATGTCTCATTTCTGGTGTTTTAGGCCGATTTCACGCTAGGTTGTTCTTGTTTGTGATATTTCAGGTCCTAGTACGTGAAGGAAGGTTTGGGCACGAGTTCAGAGTCGATTGGACGAAGTTGGGACGTTTGAAGAAAAGCTGAGGAAACCACACGGGCTGACCTAAATTCCACACGACCGTGTGACTTGGCCGTGTAGAACCCCTTTGCACGGGCAAAGCTACACTGGCCGTGTGGGATTTCCAGAGAGTTCACACGGGCAGCCCTAAATTCCACACGACCATGTGGTTTTGGCGTGTAGCGTACCTGGAGTTACTAAATAAAACGCGGCATTATGGAGAGCCACACATGCAGCTGGGGATTTCACACGACCATGTGGTCGGGCAAAACTGTTTTTTAACCCAATTTCGGGTCTTTGAAGAGGAGGACAATTGTCCAGAGCAAAAACATAGTCATAGAGAGAGAAAGTGCGAAGAACAAACCCTAGGAGTGATTTTGGAGCGGGGTTTCATCAATCAAGCTTGGATTTCATCCTTGGAGTGAAGATTATCATCCCAGAGCAGATTCTTCCCATTGATATGATTATGACTGTTTTGTATTATGTTTTTCTCTCTCTCTATGGAGTTGAACTCTCTCTCACTTGGGTATGAAGAACCCTAGTTCCATGTGTTAGGGATATTGATTGTAATGACTTTTGGATTGCTATACTGTGTGATTATAATTAATTGATGCATGATTCATTGAGTCAATTGAAGTCTGATCAACTTTTCTTGATTTCTGCTGCAACCTGAGATAGATAGAATCTGATTAGGTTGTTAGAGCTTCTTCAGTCGGTAGTAGTGAATCGATTATACGAGAGTTAGTCGATTCACCGCTTTGTACTGGAATCCGATTCCAGTAGTGGAGTTTTGTGTTAATTGCCTCAGCGTTCTATCCTGGTGAAGACTAGTCGTCTGTCGGGTAGTTTGTCTGAGAGGGCTTGGTCAGGTTAAGAGATTCCAAGCTACTATCGGATCTTTCGAAGTTTAATCAACAGTAAATCAACCAAGGAAATTAAAATTTTGAAGTTTAATCAACAGTAAATCAACCAAAGCTACTATCGGGCTTGGTCAGGTTAAGAGATTCCAAGCTACTATCGGATCTTTCGAAGTTTAATCAACAGTAAATCAACCAAAGGAAATCAAAATTTTGACCTAACTAAGGAGCTAGGGGGACTCATTCCCGAGTGACTCTTCCCTGCCTTAAGAACTTCGAACCATTTCCTGCTTTCATACTGCTTTTGTTTGCAATCACTCTCACTACACTTAGTCCCCTAGATAACAAGTAGTCACTGAGTAGGCAGTAGATCTAGACCCCGGGTTGACAAATTGAACTTTCCACAAGCCGTCTTGCATTTCCATTCTGCGATTGCACTTGGTCGCAGTTTGATGTTGTGTTTTAGCGTGTCATAAGCGGCCTTGCAAACTGGAGATTTCGAAAGAAAGAGTCTGCCAGAAGCTCGAGCACACCGACGGCCGAACTCGACGGCGGTTAGGGTTCCCTAAGCAAAGCAGAGATGACGACGAGACGGTTGGAAGGTTCGCTGGAGTCGAGAATTCAGAGAGGATCTCAGCACTCAGCGGCGTTCCTCTCGTCGATGATGGCAAGGAAGAGCGAGCCGGAGTCGGACATCGGGGCCCCTACATCGTCTCAAGGACGTCGGGCTGGGCTGCTGGAGTGGCGAAGAGTGCGGTGGGCACGACAATCGGCGGCGACACAATTAATTGCAACGAACGACGATGGGGCGGATTCAAGAAGGATTATCTTGGGCTCGAGATTGGCTCCCCGCCGCAAAATTGAAGTCTCGTCAGAGAGAAGAAACTTACGAAGGGAGCAGCGATCTGCGATGGTTGGCTTAATCATGGCGAGGTCAGAGAAGAAGCGCGGCGCCAAAATCCTATGCTCGTCGCCGAAGAAGACATCATCGACGATGCGAATCGCGCAGTTGCGGCGATCTTCTCTGACCTCAGTGGAGACGAGAAGCGCCAAACCGGACCTCCCTCCTAGCCTCTTGAAGAACTCGTCGTCTGAAATAGAACTGGGGTCGGCGGCTGAATTGGGCTCGTCTACTGGCCGTCAGAAGGGTTGGTCACCGCCGGGAAAGGAAAGTGAGAAGAAGGTGGAAGGCGTCGGCACCGCTCTGTTTCCGTTCGAGCCGATGCATCTCCTTTCCTTCGACGAAACCCTACTCACCTTCTGTGAGCCAACGAGTGGGCTTGGGTGTGTTTTGTTGGGTCGTCCGATGGTTAAGGTCATCGGGCCAAGCGAATCGAGCTGAGTGTGCTGATCAGCAAAATCTAGGATGTTTGTTGAGATCTGCTAGTCAAATGGTTGAGGATGATTACGGGTCAGGAAGTAAAAAGGAGTCTGCTATACTCTCCTTGGGCCGAGTTCTGATGGGCCAACTGGGTGGGCTAGAGGCAGCTCCGGGAGCAAGACAACTCGTCCCATGCCTCTTGAGAAAAGAAGGTGGGCCGACTCATATAGGGAGATTTGGGCCACCTATGGACTATTTTGTTTGGCTTCTTTTGCAGGAACAGAACTTGAAGGATGAAGGTTGTGGGCTTCTAAGGAAGTTTAGCCCAAACGCAATTAGAGAAGAATTGAGCAGAAAAGGGCTTGACATTGATTTGGGCCCCAATTCTGTATTTTAAGCATTTGTAGGCCAAATTAAAGATGAAGAAAGAGAATCTTGGATTGTTTTCACCACCAAGCCTATGAAGGAATTTATCGAGCACAAGGAAAATCAGTTCTCCGACTCTTATTCCGTGGATTTTGAAAGAGAGAAGGAAGAATTGTCTAGCTACGGAGGACGTGACATGTGTCATGAGGGTGGAGAAGAGTTTATTCAAGGACTCGAGCGCAATTGGGAACGAAGAAAGCGGAAAGTCAAGAAGGCGAAAGTCAACTACGACCTTGAGGGCAAGGTTGTTTTCAAGAGGAGGAGATTGTTAGAAACCCAATTTTGGTGGGTTTCTCTATTTATTTATGGTAGGATAATTATCATTATGGTTAGCAGAGATTTAGTAGAATTATTTTATTGATTAGGGTTTACCGGTATTTTCCTATAAATATGTAATCTCCGTTTCATTATGAACTAATCAAGGAAAATATTAAAAAAAGTATCTCTCTCAAATCTCTCTCAAAACCCTCTCAACTCTCGTCTATCTCTCTCCCAAGTCAGCCCGCGATCTTCTCACTCCCGAAGGCCAAACTGAATGTGTTGCAAGATCGCGCCCTCGCCATAGAAGATCCCGCCCGCGATCTCTACCCTGCCTGGCCGCGAACTTCTCCGTCCTTTGATGCCTATAAATAGAAGACCCATTTCTCCCATTCCAGTGAGTTGATTTTAAGAGAAGAATTTTTGGTTTTAGAGAGTGAGAAGAGAGAGAAGCTGAAGCAAGGAGAAGGATCTAGAAGAGAGGAGGCCTCTTCCTCAACCTCCAGTCTTCTCTAATTTCTTCTATGTATCTTCTTCCCTCTATTAAGTAGTCCTCTAAGGTAATAAAGGTTTTTGGGAATATCTTCCAGAGAAAAAAGGAGATCTTAGCTCGCCTTACTAAGCTAGAAATGATAAACCAATAGCAACCTTCAGACCAAAAATTGCAGGAGGAAGATGCAGTTCGCCAGTGGATGGAAACTACTTTGTGGGAAGAAGAGGTGCTCTGGATCCAAAGTCAACAGCCAAATGGAATGTGGATGGGGATCGCAAAACTCGATTTTTCCATCTATATACTCTTGCTAGGCGTCATCATAATGGATTTCTGGTCCTGATTAGCTACAAGTTCTTGTGCGTGAGTCTTATGTGAACTTATATAAAAAAAGAGCCCCATAGTCACGACCGTATCCAAGGACACTTTTTGGAACTGGATACACAAGAATTAGAGGCACTAATCAAAGAGTTGACATAAGGGGAGTTGGTGTGTGCGGTGAAAGATATGGCGGGGCTAAAAGCTCCAGGAAAAAATGGCTATCGGGCAGTGTTCTTCCAGAAATGTTGGCACAAGATAGGGAAAGATCTGTTCACTTTTGCACTCTTCTGCTTAATAATCCTGATAACATTAGACAAATCAACGCGATTCTTATTACCCTGACAATTAAAGTTGCTCATCTTGAGACTATTAGCCAGTTTTGCCCGATTAGCCTATCTAATGTTGATTATAGAGCTATTTCTAAATGTTTGGCTAATAGACTTAAGGGGTTCATGCACAAGCTGGTCCACCCATCCCATACCAGTTTTGTCGCAGGCCGCCACATAACTAGCTACATTATTATTTTGCAGGAAGCGGTGCACGCAATGGAACAAAAACAAAAGGTGTCAAGGGACATATGATTCTCACAGTGGACTTGGCCAAGGCGTATGATCGTGTCTGCTAGCACTTCATTGTGGACACCCTGACCGAGGTTGGGCTACCTCAATATTTTATCAAAGTAGTGATGGATTGTGTGACAACAACCTCCATGCAAATACTGCAGAATGGTTCCTACACGAGCAAGTTCATGCCTATCCGAGGCCTAAGACAGGGATGTCCCCTCTCACCCCTATCTTTTTACTCTTTGTATGGAGATACTTAGTCATATTATTATGGGTAAAGTGAGGGAGGGTAAATGGAAGCCCTTCAAAATATCGAAAGAAGGACCTCAACTCTCTCACCTTTTCTTTGCAGACGATCTTATCATGTTTGGGGAGGCGACGAAAGCTCAAGGAAAGACAGTGATGGACTCTCTCTCGACATTCTGCAAGGCCTCTGGAGAGTTAGTTAGTCGGGAGAAGTCCAGGCTCTACATCTCCCCCAACACTGGCAGAGTTGTAACGCAAGAGATTGTAGGGGAGATGGGTATTCAAAAGATTGAGAAGATTGTAGGGGTGATTGAAAAGATTAAGCAAAAGCTTTCAGGATGGAAGATGAAGCACTTGTCACTAGCAGGGAGGATCACTCTAGCCCTTTCGGTGTTGAATGCAATACAGTCATATGTGATGATGCTAAGATTCCTGCTTCTGTCTGTGAGACCATTGACAAGTTAATACGCAACTTTGTATGGGGAGCTTGGGATGGAAAGCAGAAGGCTCATCTTATCTCGTGGGAGCATATATGCAAGCCAAAGAACTTGGGTGGCCTGGTCCTCTGCTCGACTAGGGAGCTTAATAAAGCTGATTTGATGGAGCTAGTCTGGACTTTCCCCGAGGAGCGATGGGTCCAAGTGATTACACAGAAATACTTGAAAACTAAGGATGGTGGCATGCAACAGCTGAAAGGTTAAAGGAAGTCGCCTCTTTGGCGAGCTATGCAGGAGGTGTGGCCTCTTATGATACAGGGGACAGCTTGGAGCGTTGGGAGTGGAAAGGACACGAGTTTTTGGGGCGATGTTTGGCTGGGTGGAGGCGTTGCCCTAAAGGATTTCCAGTCCGAGAGCTCGAATCAAGCTGATGAAAGCTTGATTGTGGCGGACATGGTTGATAGCGAGGGAAGGTGGGATTGGAGCAAGATTGAGCACTTAACATCTCATGAGATGCGTATGCAGCTTGCAGGTACAACAGCGAAGGATCTGCGCGTTGGAGGCGGATGATCGGTTTTGAGTTAAGACAGCTTATGCGGTGGTTGTAGGTTTTATTTGTTGATGATGATGAGCAGAGTTGGTGGAAGTCGATATGGAAATGGAAAGGTCCTAGTCGGATGAGACACTTTCTCTGGCTCGCTCGCGTACCAAAGCAAGCAGATTGATGACTAACGAGGCGGAAGCTCACGAAGAATAGTGGACGAAGAGACTATGATGCATGTGTTGAGAGCCTGCAGAATGGCGATGAACACATGGAAGGATCTGATTCCAAGGGCGAAGGATAACTTATAAACCAAGCCCTACTAATATCCTCATAAATTAATTATCCCTATTTAACAAATATACAATATTTATAATAAAAATGATATTGGCGGGTTTCTATAAAAAAGAATTAATAATAATATAACGAAAAACATCCACCACAAGGGATTTGTTTGAATATAACAAGAGTTGTGCACAGGCAGAGATAAAATTAATTAGCCTGGCAAAACAACAATCCTCCCTGCCTGGATTTTCTCATTTATGGTGAAAGATTTCGGAACTGCACAAACATGCAACTATGTTGTTACACATCAAAACATCCACCTAGGAGAAGAGTGAACAGTAACAGCAGGACCTTGTGGCTTTCTCTGCCTAACTGGCGGCTCTGCACTGCTTCTATTCTTCATAACCGAGGACACTGTAGGGCTAAAGTAGTCATTACTCCTCTGGGAAGTCGCCCCTTGAGACGACATCTTCCTTCCATGAATAAAGCTCCTCTGCTGCTCTAGCATTGTCCTACGAGGCATTGGTTTCCTTTGCACAGTTGTTGTCCATCTATTGTAGCTCACACAACTCTGACTCCTCCCAACTTGCTGAAACTTACCTTCTCGAGGACTCGTGTAATTCCGGCTCTCTGCAGTCTCTGCTGAGTACATTGTAGTTTCTCCCTCACTACTATATCCTGTATTACTATTGTTATTATTATGCAATTCCGGGCCCTCCACAGGAGAGGAACTCGACTGAACTTCACTCTTTCCCCCATTCACCGAACCTGTAGATGAGATCTCAGCTTCAGGACTAGAATGTCCGTTTGGAGAAGATTGACCAACATAGCTCTTCTCATCACAGTTACTAGGCAGCAACTTTCTGTCAGCTTTGGCAACCTTGGGAGGGAAATTAATATCAAGAAGCTGTTTGTGCCCAGTTTCTTTCTTTCGAACAGGAAAGGCAGTCAGCCTTGCTGATTCATATATTTCAGGTGTAGGGATTCCCTGCACATGTGCAGCAGTAGCATTGGGATCAGAAGAAGTGTTGGTGTTTTCTTCATTGCCATTGCCAGTGCTTGCTGCGGCCACGTTTTTGGATGATGATGATGATGCTACTGCTGGAGTTTTATCCTGTTCAGCTTCTGGAGACTTGAAGACTTGGCGAAGTGAGAACGATGTACATGAATGCTCACTCTTCTGGCCAGCAGACATCAATCTGATAATGGGCAGCTTCGGTTTGGTTAGCTCGTCCAAGCTTCCTTCCCAATGTTGGTTCAACCAATCGCATATGATGGGAATGGGGATACCAAATTGCTTAGGAGAATCTCTCTTGTTGCATGATGATGATGACGAAGATGAAGTTGAAGAAGATTTGTTAGTGTTTGGAGATGTGGCCAATTTCATGGGGTCGCATATCATGAACGAAAGGTTGCCCTGTGCATCAAACCCAGCAGAACCAGGGCGCCACGTTATGCCATCAGTGGAGAGTTTTACCAAGTTATCAGTAGCAATGACGACTTTTCCCTCGCCAACAGATAACTCTTCTTTCTCCAAGTAACCCAGGAAGTAAACGACGCTGCCTAGATCTAGGTTTGGTTTACGACAGGTCTTCAAGAAATGAGGCTGGTGCTGCTGCAGCTGCCCTTGGCCGTTGGAGTCTCCATCCGCAGCAGCATCTAAACCAACTATGGTAAGGTCCAACACAGAACTTGTGATGAAAAACCTGCAAAAAGGGAGGAAGACGAGAGAGGTAGATGGATGTATCAGTTAGACAGCAAGGAATACTAGTTTGACGCCTCTTTCCCTTTGCCAAAACCTAAAGCAACATGCATAATAACGACAGCAATAATGACAAAGGATAATCAAGTACGACTTGTGCTACTACAATGCATATTAACAAACACTATAATCCACCAAAAAAGGAAAAGAGTAAGTAAAAAGCACCCGATGATGATAGTGACGGAACAGAACAGCAATGGGGAAAGCTCATTGCCATTCAAAACAAACAAACAAAAAAAACAAAAACTGCACATGAAAAATCAAGCTGTCTACAGCAACGTAGTAGGCAGGATTGAAGTGATTTAGCAATTTGGAAAGCACGGCAGCAGTTGCCGGAACATGAAGAAAGTTGCATAAAAACAGTTCGAGTTGCCCCAATTCAGTCATTAAATTAGGGCACCCATGGACAAAGTCCTGAATGTCAGTAGCAATCAGAAATTTCGATGGTTAAGCAGGCATGACTATAATTTCAAACTATAAATCTGAGTTGTTTCACCATAAATTAAACTTAGCTTGCTCATGTAAAGCAGGCATGACTATAATTTCACTCCTATAGCTAGGTGAACACTCCCCAACCGTCAACCGACCCTTACGAAGTCCCCAAATTAAAATGTCCCATGGGCTTTTAATAGAAATGATTGGGAGAGTGAGGTGGGTGTTTTTTTTTTTACATTAAGTTACTCTACTGCACGAGAGTTCAAATTATATTATTTTTAATATATTTTAAGAAATTTTTTCTATCATTTGTACCACTTATTTTCATACTGGTATCTATATCACATTTGTTTTCACTCTAATTTTAAAAAGTTTTGCACAAAAAGAACAAGTTTTCCATGATCTAATTAATCTACAAATTTTTGTGCCAATACCACTAGTCTCGAACGTGGAGGTCCCATGTTCGAATCCCTTTAATAGTACCTAATAACAAAAAAAAAAAGTAACCTATATCACCCCCACAAATTTATGAGCGTCCTTTTAGTAGCAGGTAGCTCTACCGTTATATATAGGGTGTGATGGGAATGTAACTCAGGAATCATGGGTGATCAAAACCCGATTATTCAATCCGATCAAAGCGGATAGAATTAAGTGTTAAAAGGGTTTTGGATCGAATCGAATTTTATCTGATTTTAGAACCGGCCGGTTAATTATGTTTGAGTTTTGCCAATACCTAGTCCACTTTTTGATCCAAACCACATGATCTAGAAAGCATAAAATTGCAGCTTTTTTTTCTCTCTAACATTAACAATATACAATCATTTATTGATGTATATTTAATTAGTCTTTATGAAAATATATTTGTTGTAATATTACCTAGTGAGTATTCAAAAAAATAATGCGCAACTATGTTCGCGAACCAATGAATACCAATATACACTCCCAGGTACATGTTCAGTTCGGTTGAGTTTTTCTTTTCTAATATAAGTGGATATTTACCGGGTTTTTTAGTGGCCACACTCTCGCTGATTTGGGTTTGGATTTAGTGAAATTCGACCCAACCCGACCTATTTACCATCTCTACATGCACGACTGGAAAACACATCGCGATATGAGTTGACTTCGTAGGAATAAAGAAAATTAAGAGGTAGCCGTTGCAGGGTACTATATTACTTAAGAAACAAAACTACTAAACCAGACAGAAAAGAATCGAATAGGGCACGAAGGAGTAGTCGTACGTCTATAGAACTCCACTAAATCTAAGAGTTATTGTAACCAAAAAAAGTAAGCAAAGAAATCAAACCAAGAGCCGCGGCAGATGCTGCATTACCTACAAAACAAAACTGCCAACGACAAACCTAAGAATTCTTTTGTAATTTATTACATGCTTGGAAAAAGACCCAATAAAATACGAGCCTTTTTGTGACAAAAATAATAAATCTCACCTCTAAAATTAAACCAAAATAACCGGGTTCAATAGCCGCTGCATGTTCTCTGTCCCTTGCAAAACAAAACTAAACAAGACAAAAATAAGTACTAGCCTACAAAACGAGCAATAATCCAACTAGTTATTAAGACAAAAGTAGTATTAGCAACGAAACAACATTATTGTGACACTAAACAAAGCTACAAAGATTTGCTTTTAATTATCAGTTTCGTCCCTATCTCATTTGACTCACATGCCCTTACAAAATGTGATATTTCCAAACCGGTCCTCCCACCCTACCAATAATCCAATATAAATAGATCTGACTTACAATCCAACAAGCCATCATCAACATCAACTCAAACAGCCCATCAAAACACATGGAGAAAAACATGGCAATGTCAACTTCATGCATATTCCTCATCCTCGCTGTGCTCATCTTTAGCGACGGGTTCCACGGAGCGGTCGCTAAAACCGAACCGCTCGATTTCAACAAGCACAGGGTCGACGGGAACTGCGGCGAGTGGGTCGACTCTCGCCCCGAAATGAGAGTTGAGGCATTGAGATCCATAGATCTTGCGATCGACGTCGCGACCAAAGGCAAGAAACCCAACACATGCGCAATGGCGACGGGTTCTTCGATCTTCGCAGCTGTGAATTGCTCCAAGGAGCTCAGTAAACCTAAGAGGACTGACGATTGCAGGAATTGCCTCTTCAATGCTCAGTTCCGTGCGGTCGACAAGGAGTGCCCGCAGAAATTCGGGGGTTGGATCAAGCTCGTCGACTGTTACGTGAGGTACGACACCTACAAATTTTGCAAGTGAAGCGCGCGAGCTAGCTCGATCGTGTGGGAAGATGTTGCAGTTTGGTCATATTTGAAGAAAGGGAAAGCTACTTTTATATATATGTGTGTGTAAGAAAACGATGATGTTTATAAACCATCATGAAATAAGCTAATAAAGTTCCTTTTTCTTTCATGCATTTCAATGAAGACTGATCATCGAGGTTCTTGAATCGATCTCCTCTTTTTTACTTTCAGAACTAAATCCATAGAAGAAGGAATTGACTGCTTTTGTATCCACTTAACATCCAAAAAAATAAGGGGAAATATGAGTTTAATTACCAGGAAATACCAAAGACATAATTGGAATTATAAATAAATAAAAAAACCCAACATGACTTATTTCAGCATAACTTTCCTCTCCTAGTTATTTCAATTGTCACAAAACGAGTTCATTCAATTAATTACTGGGTCTCAAACTATATCACATTCGAATACTACATCCAAACAACACATAAATTTTTATGGCTTATTATATATGGTTTGTTAAAATTCAAATTTAGAACTCTTTTACAAAAGAAAATCATATTATTTATACCAAAGACAGAAAAAGGACTGCAGAAAAGAATCGAATAGGGCACGAAGGAGTAGTCGTACGTCTATAGAACTCCACTAAATCTAAGAGTTATTGTAACAAAAAAAAGTAAGCAAAGAAATCAAACGAAGAGCCGCGGCAGATGCTGCATTACCTACCATTACAAGAAAATTGATATTTAGTCACGGGAAATTTGTTACGGGATATGTCCCGTTACCAATACAGAACTACTGTCACGGGAAATAAATCCCATAATCAAGTGGGTCAAGTAGGGCTGAAACGGTGCGGTCTGGTCTGGGGTCTATGGTTCATACCGAGAGGCTGAAGTATAGACCGCAGTCCAGACCACAGACTATACGGTCCGGTCCAGACCAGGCCTGTGCGGTCTGGTTTGGTCTGGTTTGGTCCAGATAGACCACACTTAAAGAAAAATGAATAATTTGTTTAGTCAACCACACAAAAAATTGAACTAATAACCAAGAAAAATAATTTTTATTTGCCTTAAAACATTAATCCTAACATGCATGAATAATTTTGATATCCTAAATCTTAGAAATAAAAAAAATACAAAGTAAAAGCATACAAACTTGCACCATAACGTTATAAACATTAACATAATGTCATATGGAGACACGATTATCCCTACTCTCTGGTTAAATGTGGTTGTGAACGAAGGAGGGACGAGATTCTCAAAATTAAGGTTGAGATTTGGGTGTCGGTGTGTGAGTTGGGAGGGTGATCGAATGGGCTATTAACCCGTATTGACAAGTCGGTTGGGTCCACGGTTTGGTCCGGTAAACCGCGGTCTAGACCAGACCAGACCAAGAGATCAAAACATAAAATAAACCAGACCATGGACCAGACCAGACCATACTTGACGGTCTACGGTCCAGACCAAACTGTGCGGTACGGTTTGGACCACAGTTATTCTAACGGTCTGGTCTATTTTCCTAGCCCTAGGGTCAAGCAGCTTTATTTGGTAATGGGAAATCTAACCTGTAATGTTTTCTTGTAAATTTACCGTGACAAATGTGATATTTCCAAACCGGTCCTTCCACCCAACCAATATAAATAGAAGTCACTCAGAACCCAACAAGCCATCATCAACATCAACTCAAACAGACTATCAAAACACATGGAGAAAAACATGGCAATGTCAACTTCATGCATATTCCTCATTCTCGCTGTGCTCATCTTTAGCGACGGGTTCCACGGAGCGGTCGCTAAAACCGAAACGCTCGATTTCAACAAGCACAGGGTCGACGGGAACTGCGGCGAGTATGTCGACTCTCGCCCCGAAATGAGAGTCGAGGCATTGAGATCCATAGATCTTGCGATCGACGTCGCGACCAAAGGCAAGAAACCCAACACATGCGCAATGGCGACGGGTTCTTCTATCTTCGCAGCTGCGAATTGCTCCAAGGAGCTCAGTAAACCTAAGAGGACTGACGATTGCAGGAATTGCCTCTTCAATGCTCAGTTCCGTGTGGTCGACAAGGAGTGCCCGCAGAAATTCGGGGGCTGGATCAAGCTCGTCGACTGTTACGTGAGGTACGACACCTACAAATTTTGCTGAGTGAAGCGCGCGAGCTAGCTCGATCGTGTGGGAAGATGTTGCAGTTTGGTCATATTGAAGAAAGGGAAAGCTACTTTTATATATATATATGTAAGAAAACGATGATGTTTTATAAACCATCATGAAATAAGCTAATAAAGTTCCTTTTTCTTTCATGCATTTCAATGAAGACTGATCATGGAGGTTCTTAAATCGATCTCCTCTTTGTTACTTTCAGAACTAAATCCATAGAAGAAGGAATTGACTGCTTTTGTATCCACTTAACATCCAAAAAAATAAGGGGAAATATGAGTTTACCAGGAAATACCAAAGACATAATTGGAATTATAAATAAAAAAAAACCAACGTGTACGTGACTTATTTCAGCATAACTTTCCTCTCCCAGTTATTTCAATTATCACAAAACGAGTTCATTCAATTAATTACTGGGTCTTTCTCTAAAAAAAAAAAATTAATTACTGGGTCTCAAACTATATCACATTCGAATACTACATCCTTTTGTAAAAAAAAAAAAAAAAAGCGTTATCACTAATCAACTATACGGACTGATGTACAAATCAAGAGTACTATTTTTCACACATCTAAGAATTCTCTCGTCGATTGTAATGGTATTTGTACGTGAACCAACTGGTTCCAATAGTTTGAGCTGTTGAGAGAGGTTCATGTACATATGGTCTTTAACCACTTCTTTGCATGATCCATCGCCCGAAGGCTAGCTCACGGGTTTCAAGTTTGTACACGTCCAGTCATACAATGTGCATTAAGACAACAATTAATATTGAGAATCGTGAGAACTTTGAACACGTGATCTCAAGGACGAAGTTCATTCGGACAACCACCTGCACATCAGCACATAGGTCCTCAACTACTTTCTTACAAGGTTGACACCACTAAGTTTTGTGCCCATAGGCCATAATGCTAAGTTGGCAGTCACGATTTAAGTAACAATTATAATAGTATTTCATACTATGGTTACGGAAAGTTAACTTGTATTACGCTAAATGTTACATAAGGAACATTATAATTTACCTAATGTGACCTTCAAAACTTATTATAACAAAATGAAAAGGGTTAAGTTCGAATAAATTAAAAGTGTGCCCGGGATTCCCTCATTTATGGGTCCAATATCATGAAATATGAGTCGTCGATCGATTCAACGTAGTTGCCTCATAATTTTCTCATCTCGCAAAACAACCCGCATTGTTTCACAACGCGCGCCCCCCTATTAATTATCATTCATGCAAAACCAGGAAATTCAAGAGCCCATAATCTATACGTTATGACTATTATTGGGATGCAACATGTTGTCTTCATAGATAATTTGATTTAAGGACAATAAAACTAACGGATTGCCACATCGACATCAACTTTTGGTCAACCGATTGGAAAGTTAACGAATTGCTTATTGTTTTGTTCTTTGAAAAGTTCGATTATTATTTTAATTAGAACCAAAGGTTTACCTAATGTATTGTCTCTTTTTTTTTTTTTTTTACAAGAACAAAGAAATGCCGCTGCATGTACTCTGTTACTTGCAAAACAAAACTAAACAAGACGACTTCACTATGCCAACTAATTAAAACTAATCACTAAGCTAGAAACAAACCGATTATTTATTTCCCGAGGCTTCACAAAGCTGGGGATAAAGAAAACAAATGAAAGCATTCCCATGCATAATCATCCGTATAAATACAGAAGTTGAATCCAATAACACATCAATATTCAATCAATCCCCGTCATTTAAGATAATGAAGCAGCAATTAACAACAAAGATCAACATCCTAATGACGACGGCTCCACCACCCGTCGTCCTCATCGCGACGCTGCTGCTGCTCATCTTTAGCGACGGAATTTCCGTCGTCGTCGTCGTCAACAGCGCTTACAACACAAACAGGATCGCCGGCGACTGCGACGGGCTGCTTAACTACCTGAGCAACAACGAAGTCGTGCGAAACCTAGCACTGAAATCCATGGACGCCGCAATCGATTTTGCGGCCAGCAAGAGACCCAATACCTGCGCACATGCTGAAAATCGCGGTATTTGGATCACCGCCGCCGCTAATTGTTCCCATCGGATAACTAACGACGACGACTGCAAACTCTGTCTCTACAACGCGCAGTACCGGGTCGTCGACCAGTGCCCGTATATGAAGGGAGGTTGGCTCGAACTTGCAGATTGTTGCGTCAGTTATAGCACCAATCCGTCATTTTGCTGGTTGGGATGATGATGATCACCGTCGATTGTTTAAATTTGTGATGTATCGCTAAATCTATATAGCTTAAGGGGAGCTACGTTTTTTTTTTTTACTAGTAAGAAAAGAATGCTACAATCATATATTGTCATGTTGGAGATGATTAACAAGGTACGTAGATCGGTGGTCTATCGAGCCAAACTGTCCTCTAATTCCATCTAGTCTCGCCATGTATCATCGCACGTGTGAGCCGCTTCATTAGCTTCCTGTTAGTGTGTTGAGCTGCCACCGTCCGTCTCAGGTGCTTGCAAGTACTATAATTGCAATGCTTCTACATAAAATCTCAGTCTCATCATGCACCACCAAACTCTGTCGCCAAGGCTTCAGCAATATACTTGTACCTCCCATGATCCTGGAACTTTCTTGGCAGCCGACGGCCGCCAGCGAAAACTTTCCATTTGAGTCCCTTATTACCACCCTGAGGCGCCTGCTCCGTCGATCTGTTCTACAAATACCAACATCGGTACAGACTGACACACTAACCGAGTTCCGGTCTATTCAAATTGTTTCCAGCTGACAGGATAAAGACTCGGTTCCATGTTCAGCTGCTAATGTTGCTTGTAGTCTGTCAGAAGATACTTACTCAGCGCGAACTGGTGTCTCGATCTTCTTCGAACAGTTTAGCTCCATTAAACAAATGAGACGTGACTTTCTTTCCAGAGATACCATAGCATACGCACCAAGCTTCAATTTCCTCCTTCCACTGACTCCAAAACCGTCGTGATCCATGAGAGAAACGAGTCGTCTCCTTTCACGGCAAAAAAAAAACCACCAGCTACCTCGGAGACTGACACCCTTTCAAACGCAACAAAAGTGTGGACTTGAGTTTCGCACAAGTCACAAAACGGGCATTGATCATCGTATCTTTCAACTTTAAAAAATTGTACACATATGCAAAACTATCAAAATAAGACCCCTTTTGTGACAAAAAGAACTCCACCTCGAAATGATAATTAAAATTAAGCAATTAGGGAATTGCCGCTGAATGTACTCTGTTACTAGCAAAACCAAACTAAACAAGACAAACAATAAACTGCAAAAAGGTTCAATTGTTCAAACAGTGTAAGAGTTTTACAACTCCAGCTGAAAGAATATATAAAAGGAAAATCTAACAAGACGAGACATCCAAATAACTAAAACAAAAGGAATTAATTAGCAACGAAACACCATTATTCAAACACTAAGCAAAACTTACAAAAGACAAATAAGGCAAAATTTTCTTTTTAATTATCAATTTAGTATCTATCATATATTATCAGCACAACATCTCATATTCGTTTTAACTCTTTTTTTTCTTTTCTTTAGTTATGCTCTACACTAGTTTTTTAAGTAATTATGCTCTACACTAATTTTTTAAGTAATTATGACATAGGCGTATTTGAAACTAAACAATTCATATATTTGTATCACATCTTACTACGTACCACGTCAATGTCGATCCCCACAACGACCTCTTACGACAGGCCGCATCTATACAATACACCTATATCACCAACGACGCGACAGATCCCTATGATCGTTGTATTGAATGCACTCATAAATTTTTAATTATCAAAATATATCAAAATGAAGATAAAAACATATAAATTTAAATCCCTAATTAATATAAGGAGGATAGTATACAAGCCAATTCATATAAGGAGGAGAATCCAATAGCTGCTCATCTTTAGCGACGGAAATTTCGCCATCGTCGTAAAAGGTTACAACACGGACAAGATCTCCTCCCGCTGCGCCGGAAGACAAAAAGACGAATGATTAATTGGGCCGCTTTTGAGTCAACATTGGGCTTTGGGTTTGAGCCTGAGTCGGACTAGCTCACTGACTATTGGTCTTGAACTTGGATTCGACTTTCTGGACCTGTTGTTTGTGCTCATCAACGACTGATTTTTGGTGTAGATTTAACTAGGCTAGGGCTTCGATCCAAATAACCAATTGGTTTTTTTTCTCTTTTTTCCTATGTCACTTGGGAGGCTTGGGCCTCAAGGTGATGATGGGTGGTCCATATTAGAAAAGGATTAACTGGCCCAACAAGAAATGGGAAAATATCGGCCGACGACAAGTAAGAAATGGTCTGCAAAAAAGTAGATAATATCCGTGCGTCCAATTTCGCTATGGTACACACAAATATGGGTGGTACTATAGCGAAATTGTAATCAATGATAGTGAGGTGTGAGATTGAGAGAGAGAAGGGTTATTTGGGGGCTGGATTTTTCGCCAAAAATTCCGCCAAAACACCCAAAAACTTGCCTAGACCCCACCCATCTCTCACTCCTTGGCCCCACTATGCACTACCTTCAGCTCGCTTCCCCACAGCTCAAGTGCGCCTCGTCTTCTTCCCCGAGCCCGTGTCCCAGCCGATCAATCCTGGCCCTTCGTTGTTGGCTTGGGCGACGTGACCCTCCTTCTGGGTTGTGAGTTGGTGCACACAGATATCTGTATGTATACCATAGCGAAATTGTCGTGCGTTCTGTCTTTCGATGTTTCGTTTGTCCAGACCACTTCATTATACACTAGAGGTTTATGAATCAGTGTGTTATTCTATCCCGCTCGTCACGAGATATCCAATTAGTTAAAACTATGTATCAGAACCAGACTGATACTTCCAAACACTAAACACAACTAGAGAAAAACAAACACCAAATCATGATTTCAACGTGCTCTTTTATTGGCATAATCAACAATTTTTTACACCCTTTTCATTCCCTTAATCGTCCTTTATCATGTAATCAAGACACCCTTCAAAACCCACATAAATACACACACACACCCCACTAATCCATAATCAACTCATTTCATTATCCCCCTTTTCCAAGCAATCAACCATGAAGATCAATCTCCACACCACCGCCACATCTTTCCCCCTCGTCGTCCTCATTGCATCGCTCATCTTTAGCGACGGCATCTTGTTCGTCGTCGCGAAAGGTTACAACATAGACAAGATCGGCTCCGGCTGCGGCAAGCAGCGCGACACCAGCAACGAGATGAGGTTGCAGGCGCTGCACTCCATAGACTCCGCCATCCTCGCCGTCGTCTCCGGATCCCCCAACGCCTGCGGGAAGGCGCCGGACTCGACGATCTACGCCGCCGCGAACTGCGCCCGCGCGCTCTCCGACGAGGAGTGCAAGCTCTGCCTATACAACGCCCAGTTCCGGGTCGTCGACGCCGAGTGCAAGCACTTGTTCGGCGGCTGGCTCGTGCTCAAAGATTGCTACGTCAGGTACGACGCCGATACTGCATTCTGTCGTCAGTGATCCGTCGTCGTATTGCTGTGATACGCATCGTTTCTGTGTGAGGGAAAAAGATCGTTCGCGCAGTTTGGGTTTGGGTTGGATGGATTGATTCCCAGCTAAGGGAATGATATGATATTTTGTATTCGCTTTTTTCCGACTATTTATGAAATTATTTTAGATGCGAAAGTTAAATTTTTTTATTGAGAAGTCTCATACTCGAATCTTCTGCATGATGGTTGATGTCAAATAGTTGATTTAACAAAAATACGAAATTTAACAAAAGTATCCTTGGTGAATTTACAGATATGTTGTATATGAGGTTATAATGTAATTAAGATTAGTACTGTTCGAGTATCTTCCAACGACTCGAAGATTTATTATAATGAGCTAGTTATCAATTAGTGATGACAAACGAGTGGAACGGGCTAGGTGTGTCAATACTCATACATGTCCTATTTCGTTCGACCTGATTCTCGATTGAATTGACTGATGTCCACCCCTTAATGTTACATTTGCTATGTTAGATGAATTTCAACGAATCGAAATCATCGATCATAATCGTATGGTGAAAGATTTAAAGGATTATTAGTGTTTAGGGTATAGTTATATATACAGCCCCCATAAATAATTGGGTGAGCTAATTAAGTAGCGGTCATTACGATGAAATATAGCTCGACGGCATATCACCATGGATCAACCTGAAACAAACTCAACCGGTCCAAAACTTTTACTGGATCGATCGACAAAGCTATAGCTAGCGAAATGTTGGATGACTCAACTTTGCTTCATGGATCATTCTTTTTCCTCTTGTTTTTACTTGAATTTTAAAGAACATTGCAAGATGCTTAATTATATATATATCTAAAATTATAAATAGCTTAATGAAATGTATTAGTTATTTTTTCTTGACCACATACTTAATAAATTTTTTGATTGAGATTTGTGCTTGAATCACCTCAAAATCATTGTTAAAATATTAACCGCGGATTTCTTCACCATTAATTTTTTTTTACGGGAAGCATGCATGTTACCGAGCATCTTAATGTTTGAATGCCCGGAGATGATGAAATGAGTGTAATAATCAAGATTCAAGAAGGTGTTGATGAGGTGGGCATTGGGGCATTACCTAACGACGTAGCTTGCTTAATTAATTAGATTCTGCCTTAATCGTGTCTAGTCGCGCTGAAAGTAAGAATAGCAGTTTATACTGCATGAAATATGAAATAGCTGTTTACAACGCCTTTGCATTTCAGCCAAACTGATCAATAACTGTTGACACCTAAAAATTAATTCGGCCGAAATTAAATGCCGCATTAATTAGTATTGGCATTTAATTCGATACCGGGGGTAAAAGACGACGTCGTTTGAAATTAAGCGGTACCGCAAGAAAGCTCACCGGTACCGCAAGGAAGTTCACCGGTAACGCGACAGTGGAAACGGCACCGGTCATCATAAAACAAAAGAGGGGCCGCGCGTTTAGTCGTAGTTGGAGAAGGAGTTTTGTTTACTCTAATTAATTATTATTATTATTTCCTTGTTGGATAGGGAGAAGCGGCACCGCGGAGAACTAAAACGGTGCCGCGGAATTTAAAACGGTACCGCTATACTAGCAAACGATAGTGTTTAATAATAAACAGTGTCGTGGAAGAAAAAAAAAACAAACAAACGGTTGGTTGGGGAAGAAAACTACACCCCAAGGCTGGAAGCGGAGTCGTTTAATATCAAAACGACACCGCTTAAAGCATCAACAACGCCGCGATATTGCTAGGCGTTCGAGACCATACCACGGCGGGTTGGATTTTGGCGAGTCCCGGCAAGACCAACGGCACTGCAAGATGAGAACAACAGTACCGTTTTTAGCGATGCCGCGGAAAGACCAACGGTACGGTTTGGTTGAAAAACAAAACAATGTCGCGGAATGGAAAACGACATTGTTAAACGGCATCGATTAGTGAAAGGTGATGCCGCGGTATTGGTGAAACGACATCGTTACATGGACAAGGTTGTAGGATTTGGCTCAACGTCGTTTCGCCAAGTTTATGCAAACAGGAGCTGTTTCGAGTGCACGTGACTTTTACGCAAAGCAGAAAGAGGAGATCAAGGCAGTTGAGACACGTGGGATTTCAGGACGGAGCAGTTGAGGAAGCAGTTCCACCTAGCGTGAAGATTACGCAAGTGATTTCAAATAAAAGCAGCGGAGCAAGGAGAGAGTGGGGGACAACCAAATCAACACAGAAACACCTCTGTCAAACTTTACCTTTTTTCTCTGTAACTCCTTCGCGGAGCTCTCCTTCCAGGAAGGATCTCCATAGTTGTAGTCTTAGTCGTAGTCGCGGAGCTCTCCACAGGAACCTCCATAGGAGTAGCGGTAGCGTAGATTCCTCAAAACTCAAACACCCTCGTTCGAACGTAGTTTGGAGAGGTGCGAACCGTAGTAACGGTCGTTCTTGGTTAGAAGTCAGAGGTGCATCGATCAAATCAACACCGCCCGACGGTGGATATTTGACGGTCACATTGATTTCACCATTTAGAGGTGCATCGATCAAATCAACGGCGCCGACATTCGGCAGCGGATATTTGACGGTCGTCTCGATTTCAGCAATCAGCGGTGCATTCGATCAAACGGCACCGCGAGAGTTTCCGCCGCGAAACATCAAATCAACATCGCCGGAAACGAATTTGGCACCGGCGGTGGCATTTGATTTTCTGAGGAAACAATAACGAATTAAAAACAAGTAAAAAATGGCTCACAATTAGCTCAAAACCTCACAAAACTCCCATGATTGGGAAGACCGCGAAAGAAAATATAGTTTGTAAATGACGTTAAGCTCCCCTTCAAAACATTGATCACTGACTGATTGTTTCCACTTAACCACGCTCAGACGATCGAACACTTAGATTTCGACCTACACCATTTCAACGAATTTTCGGATACCTAACCCTTCGACACATAACCTATATAGACAAGACGTTTTTCACGGTACCTGTTAAGCACACCTTTTTTTAAATCATGATCATTCCATCCTGATGACAATGAAAATGGATAATGCCCGTGATAATAAGCCACCACAATAACGTCTGAAAAATCATTGTCACAAATCACAATGTACAAGAATCAGTCGTTCACATCAATATATCCCCCTCAAATACAATTCCATAAAACCAAACCCAACCCCCCACAAATTAACCATGATCACCACCACCATGCCTTCTTCTCTCTCACCACTCCTCTTCTCCCTCCTGGCCGTCATCACCGTCGCCGTTAAAGCCGAGCCCGACCTCGGTTACATCTCGTCCCTCTGCGGCCGGCGACATGACCCCCACCCTCCCCGACTGAAGAGGCGTGCCATCCAAGTCACCGTCTCGGCGATCACAAACACGGTCCCAAGCGTCGTCGGCTTCTGCGACGACTCCGTAAGGCAGAAACCGGCCATGCACGTTTTCGCGTCGTGCCCCTTCCACGTTACTCAGGAAGACTGCACCAAGTGCCTTGAGTACGCGCAAGATCAGTTGATCAACTACTTGTGTGAAGGTCTCTACGGTGCGCAGCTCGTTCTCAGCGGTTGTATCTTGAGGTACGAGACCTACAAATTCTGTTGAATTGTGGAAGATGGTGTAAAGTTTCCTAAGCAAAAAAAGTGTTTACGTTTTTTAAGGTTTTTCGTGATAATAACAATAAACAGTTACATGTTATGTAACAAGTAGTATTGCGATGATGTGGGTTGAATTACTACACATCGGCGGAGGAAGGCCCTTTTGGCCTTGTCCCGGGATAGGGGTAAATTTCGGAGGAACAAAAATACGCCATATATATTTATATTGGTGATGGAACACAATATCTATAGGTAGTACTAGAGTATATTTCGGACAGGAAAATATGACTAGTGTGCGTACGAGTATCGAGTATCGTAACATTACCAGTATTATTATAATTATAATAACAGTAAGAGAGTAGAAACATAATAAACAAAGGTCTAAAAATTTAGACAGGGGTGTCAGTTCGGTTACCGGTTAACCTACCAGTTAAACCGATAACCGGCCGGTTATCCACTAACCCGTAACCGAAGTAACCGAACTTCGGTCGGTTATCGGAAGCTGACCAAAATGATTTTGGTCTTAAAAGTGGTTCGGTTAACCGATAACCGAGAAACCGAAACCTATTTCGGTCGGTTTTCAGTAAAGGGGGTGTTTATTTCGGTTAACCGATAACCGGCCAATCGGTTACCGGTTATAATCGAAATAACCGAATTGCCAGCAGTAAAATTAGTGGTAGCTCAGATACAATCTGGAAGTACAAGCTGGGCTCAGATATAGTAAAGTTGCTGGGCCGTGAGCCATAACTGTTGTCTTCATTAGCAATAGGCTTTTCGCCCATTAGAACTAGCAGTGATCAGGAAAAACAATTCTGGCCAAACAAAAATCGGATCATTTTTTTTTTTTTTTTGTTTATATAAGGACAAGGGTATAATTTCAACTATAGTATTTAATTTACACAAGAAAGTGGGATTGCAGTTACAATATAGCATAACTAACAGTCCGATTAGAATCCATTCAGGAACAAGAACTAATTAATCTGAGAATTTTCGTGCATTCCAAAAAAGCAGTCAAAACTAAAAGATGTCGGAAGGAGGCAAACTCGATCTTACTCCTTTCGTGGCATTGGTCCGGCTACAATTAAAGTTGTATTTATCGAGAACAAGTTGATTTTAATAACTCGAATTGTTGGATAAGTTTGATTATGCATCATGTGTTTAACAGAACAAATGGGGGTCATCGTGATTTAAACAGAAGAGCTCTTGGTCATAGAAAGCGCAGATATCATGCCAAAAACTAGTCGATTCCAATAACTCGAGTTGTTGAAAGAGTCAATTATAGATCAAATACCATTTACTAACAGATGGTCCAGCTAGCAGTGAGTCAAACACTACATGGTAGAAACCATTCACTATATCCTCGATCTTCCATCCCCCTGATTTTTTGCGCACATATTACGAATTCGCCTGTTGCCAGCTTTCCCGCATCATTAATTGTGAAGTTGATCGCCTTGCTCGTAGAAGTGTTCAAATGGTTACCATAGTAATTACCAAATCAAATAAACTTGAATTCTATTAACCACGAAATACAATATCGCAACCAAAATCGATCAAATTAATACAACAATCAAATTAACCCAAACTAAATTTTAGTCGGTTTGGCTAATTAATTATTAGGTGCCGGTATGTTGTTGTCTACCATCTCCACAAACAAATAAAGTGCAGGAATAATGATTTTTATACTTTTATGGTTTCAAAATGGAGAAATGTTTTGACTTTTTAGTAGGTATGCAAAGCATTAAGTATGAGTATATAATACATTAACTATATATATAGCTAGTTGGTTTGTTTGGTTAGCTAAAATCAAACCACCAAAACCAAACAAACTAAACAAATTTAAACAAAATCAATCAATTATCCAGATTAATCAAACCAAATTTTCCGAATACTATTGATATAAATAATTACCAGTTACCACGATAATCACACCGTTTAAAACTCCTGCCTGCTCTCCATCGACGCTAGATGCCCACGTTTGTTATCTTCTCCATTCAAATTGCAGGACAGTATGGGTCTGTCATCTCATCTCTCTCTCCCCTACTCGTATTATCTTTTCATACCTACAGACATAAATAGTAAATTTATGGTCCCATCTTCTTTTTTTTTTTCTTTTCTTTTGGAAAGAATTATGGTCCCATCTTTTATTGCATGCATTGAGCATTATTTGCTTTCTGGCCCCCATCCTGCAAACTATTTACTCGAAGAAGCCCACCCTAACTTTTGTCACTTGTGCTCATAAATTTTCAATAAACTCACCACCATCACTTATTTGAATCGGCTATATCCATTTTTGAGTCCCTCGCTCGCCTTTCTTTCACCAGTGGGAAACGCTCTGAAAAAAATCTCATAATAAGATGGGCAGTTCTTCTTCTTCTTCTTCTTCATCCATCCTTGTCGTCGTTGCAGCATTATTCATCATCATCTTTAGCGACGGAAGCTACACCGTCGTCGCGGAAAGTCGGCCCAACACGGACAAGGTGGCCTCCGGGTGCGGGCCGTTGGTCGACCACCGGCCCGAAACGAGAGCCCAAGCGTTGAGGTCCATAAACCACGCGATCGAAGAGGCCGCGACCGCGGCCCGCCGCAACACCTCGTGGGCTAGTGGGCCGTCGTCAAAAGTCGTCGCCTTTGCCAATTGCTCCGCCGCGCTGACGGCGGCTGGTTGCAAAAGGTGTCTCAACGAGGCGCAGTTCAGGGTGATCAACGTGGAGTGCCCGTACGTGTTCGGAGGCTGGATCGAGCTTGTCGATTGTAACGTGCGGTACGACGTCGTGATGATTACTTCGTTTTATACTCAAGCTCAGAGGTGGAGTTACTTGTTGTAAGTGAGTAAGTCACTGCATGTTTAATATAAGCCTTGGAAAGAAATAAATGAAAAAGAAAAAAAAAACATGATAGGAGGTTAGAACCCGTGAAGTTTAATGAAATAAACCGGTTCGATCCTTGCTATAATAATTTTTTTTATTTTAGTGATTTGATTAGTTTGTTGTTACATGATTGATTGTGACATTTTATTTGAACGATGACAATAAAAAATACGTAAATAAAAACAAATTGTTACTATTGCGATATAAAAATGTAACATCAGCAACTAACCTTGTGTAACGAGTAATTGCACAATGTATCCGGAAAATGACTACTTATAAATCGAGATTAACAAGGATTATTGTTGATTTTTTTTTTAACTACTCGAGTTATTAATTCAACTAGTTTTTTTCTAGCTCAAATGGAGATTGCTTTTCATGGGCTTGTCTTGAAACCTCGCTCTGGGCCGCATTTTTCAGTTCTTACGGCCTTCAATCAAGTGGCACCAGCAGCTATTTTGGGCCACTGAAACGAAAGCCCAGTTGGAAAAGGATGGGTAGGCGTACAGTCTGGGAAATTGGAAGGCCTGTCTTGGAAAGGTTAGGGGGGGTAAGCCGGGGAAAGTCGGCCTTCCCCGTTTAACAAAGGCCCAACGAAGCTTCTCCTCCATTTAATCGAAGGCCCAAAGAAACTTAAAATCCGGCCCCGTTCGGGACGCTTCTGGTTCTTAAAACAAAATTCGAAATGCGAGTAATCGACGAGATTTCATGATATGACGATAAATTGATATTTCGCGACACTCATGGTTGCCAGCCTGCTGTATCACTAGAAACTCGAGAACTGAATCAATATGTACGTAGTATTAGTTATCTATTTAATTATAGACATAAGACAGAGATCGAATATAAAGTTGTACTTAATGGCGTGTTTGATTAAGTTTTGGAAGTTATTGATGACAGATGTAATTAAGATGACAGTACTTGAACAGAAAATATGCTAAGTACCTTCTGTACGTACGTACAGCCCACGGTGCATGAGGAAAAGGTTACTTGTCCCCTAAGAAATTCATATAAATTGCTTTTTTTTTTCATTTATAAGTTATAACATCTCATTTCCACCCACATTCATTGTTAGTCAAGCATAATTTAATTTTCCTGTATTGGTTTCTCTCTCTCTTGCAATCTTTATTTAGAGAAGTTCAGAGTTCGAAATTAATGAAATTATTTGTCTGCATACTTAACACTCATGTATCAAATTAAGGTATAACGGAATGTGATATTGACAAAGTAAAAAAAAAATGTATACTTTTGTAGTTCATTCTCACGATGTGTATTAGGTAACATACATGTAAGAGAGATCAATTTCAATATAATGATCCGTATCACATATTTTGAAGAAATTCTATAGCAAGTTTTATATAGACAACTTCAAGACGTCTGTAACCCCCAATCGTTGGAAAACCATATTTAAATTATAGCAACAATTGATATTTCGTGGAAATGGAAGGGACCAAGTTGGTAACTTGAGATGTCAATTAATTAATTAGACAACCATGCATCCAACCTTAAACTAAATATTTAATTATTTTTAATTACCATTTGTATTTATCTATGATTTTTTGGGGGTACTTCGTCCCATCTTGGTCCTTGGACCAGGGAACCCCTACACATGGGCATCACTAATGCTTTGCAGACAAATTATTAATTTAGAAATTAAGGTGAAATTAAAAAAGAAATTATTTTCAATTGTTTTTTTTTTAATTCACAAATCAAGAACTCAATCATATTAAAATGGATTAAAGGAAGGATGGTCACAAACTTCCTCATTGGGAAGAGATGATGAATTTTGAAGGATGGTCAACAAAACTCAGCACAAGACCACGTGCATACACACCAATTCATGGAGGGAAATCCCCTATAAAAAATATGCAAAATACTAATTGAGTTTATTATGCAAAAATAAGAAAAGAAGAGAAAGACAAAAAGGAAATTTTTGTGGCATTTGATTATATTTTTTTCACGAAAAGAAGGAAAATTATGGGAATTGTTTATAACTCGAACCATGGGGAGTATGCTCTGATCTTATTATCGGAAGTGTTTTATTTTTGTGACTAAGGTCACACTATTTAATGGATTCGAACCTGGGACCTCTAAGTTCTAGACTAGTGGTATTACCACTAGGCCAAGCGGTAGTTATATTGAAACTTATTTGATCATTAATATAGGTTAGCACTTAGCATGCTCTTTTGCACTTTATTACTTACTCCATAAATTAAATAAATCAATAATTAGGTAACAAATCATCCGCAATAACCATGATAAAATTTGAACAAATGATTTTTTTATTATTTAAAATGAATGCAATTAATATGGGGTACCACATATATCCACAGTATTGTTTCCTTTATGTTTCTTTCTCTCTTTTTATCTATGGAGTATACGATGTACCTTTGTAGTTATGATGAGATTGGGAATAGGGTAGTGGAGATGGATGGTCCATACTTAGAATGAACAAGACCATGGAACAATATAAGGCAAACAAAAAGAAAGATGTCAAGCTATACATATTTGATGGCATACAAATTCAAACTTTCACTTCCATGTTCACACTTTTTGAGTAATTGGCCTATAGAGATTGTACCGTACTCTGAATCTAAATGTAAACCTACATACTCGTGTTATCGATGATCCCTCTACGAGCTAAATAGTTGATCAGAAAGTTGTCATGATCTGTATCGATGTGAGAAGTCTCAATTATCAAGTCTCGTAGAAGGAAGGAGACTACTATATTGAGTAGTTAGCCAATAGAGAACGTTCGGATCGTACTCCGTAACTAAATATGAAACATATATACGTATATCGATGACCCTTTACGAGCCAAAACAATCGATCAAAATGTTGTTCTCTGTATCAGAGTGAAAACGGAGTAATTGATGATGTCGTATTAGTACTGTTAACACTGTTGTCTATAGGAGTTAAGTACAAGAGTAGAGGTAGGAAACACACTAATTTTTGCTAGGGCATGGCCCCATGTCCACATGCCGGCCCTTTGGTGTTTGTGTTCATCTTGCGATTCATTTTCTGCCACACCAACATGAGTTCGTATACTATGTGTTTTCTTGTCATTGCCCCTCATCATTCACCTCTGTCTTGGTTGCGAGGATTGTAAAGTCGTACCGGTGGATGTATCGGAAAAGTCAAATGGTAGAGTATTTTGCGTTGAAATAATAATTCGACGTTTTGTATGTCGTCAAAATCGTCAGCGACTTGAACTCCACTGGACAGTTCTCCGATTGGACCTCTGATAAGATTTGGGTTTTGTAAACACTGTTGCTTGATTGTACAAAACGAGAAGATGAAACTATAGGGGATTGATAATGATCCACTAATTTCTTGGCAATCCTTGGCATTTGAACTATTCCAAATGAATCTATAACTCTTTTTCTCCAACTTTCATTAGATATCCCATCATATCAAAATGTTGAGTCCTCGTAGACTCTCTCAGCCATGAGCAACAGTCCAACGTTCAGCGTCTGATCCAACAATGATTGATGATGAACAAAGAGAGAGTGAAGAAAGTCCCATGAGATTTCTTAAAGCTGGAAAACTGTGTATTTACAACATTTATCACAAGAGAGATTTGGCAGAAGAGACCAAAAGGAGGCAAACAATGAGAGGGAGAAAAGAGAGATTTTTAGTCTGCTCCAAGCTCCTCTCAGCTACTAAACATTGATATACACATACACATTCAAATGGTTGATCAAGAACAAAAAGATTACATCTTCTCCCCCCTTTCTTCTTCTTCCCACTTTTCTTCTTCATCTCTAAAAGAATCCGCCTGGAAAATTGATTTCAAGAGGCAGAAGAAGAAGAGAAAGACTCTCTCTGTCTCTCTCTCTCACGAACTCTTTTTCATTATTCCTGCAACTGCTTCCCTACTCCTTCAGGCGCTTCCTTTATCTCCACCATATCCCCAAACCCACCACCAACCACAACACCATCATCGTCCTCCCCGGCCACGATGCTCGACTGCGAATCCAATCCCGAACCCGCCTGGATTTCCTTGAACATCGCCATCACCTGGATCATCGTCGGCCTCCTCCAATGCCGGTCGTCGAGGCAAGCACACGCCACCTTCAGGTGCTGCAGCAGCTCGATCTCGACGCTCGGATCCTCCTTCATCAACAAGGGATCGAACACGTCGCTTATCTTCAACTTGGCATGCTGCTTCACCCACCCGACCAGGTTGTTGTCCCCGAAATCTGCTGAATCCGTCGGTCTCCTGCCCGTCAGCAGCTCGAGCAGCACGACACCGTAACTGTACACGTCGCCCTTCACCGAGCACCGGAAGCTCTGGTAGTACTCGGGAGGGACGTAGCCTGGTGTCCCCGCCAGCGTGCTCACGCTGAGATGAGTGTCCATGGCGGACATCAACCTCGCCATACCGAAATCAGACACCCGTGCATCCAGATTCTCGTCGAGCAGCACGTTGCTCGACTTCATGTCTCTGTGGATGATGTGTGGGATGCAATTGTGGTGGAGAAATGCTAGACCTCTTGCTGCACCGATCGCGATCTTTCTTCTTGCGTTCCAGTCGAGCTTTATCCCCGCTTTCCTCTGGTCGTGAAGAACATCTTCCAAGCTTCCATACTTCATGTACTCGTAGACCAGCAGCCTCTCTTCCCCTACCTTGCAGTAGCCGAGCAATGGGACGAGGTTCCGGTGCTTGATCTTCCCGATGGTCTCCATCTCGGCGGTGAACTCGCGATCACCCTGACCACTTATGTGAATCAGTTTCTTGATTGCCACGACACTCCCGTCTTTCAACTGTGCTTTGTACACATCGCCAAACCCTCCCGACCCAATGAGGCTGTCGTTGTGGAACCCATTGGTAGCCTTCAGAAGATCAGCAAATGTCAGGCTTCGTAGCGGTCTCTCGAACGTGGCCAGGTTGATGCTCAATGCTTCTCGTGCTCCGGTCAACTTCCAGCTCGTGTTGGGGTTCCCCGAATGAGAATGATTCTCCATGAACACATCGAGAGCCGATTCCTTCTTCTTCCTCCTCCGTTTCTTGGCTTCGATGGAGATCAGAACCACGGCGAAGATACAGAACAAGGCGAATAGCAATCCCATCGCCACACTGCCAGCTAAAGAGGCTTGTCGCCTGTGAGACTTCTGATGCAGAGAGGTGGCAGCAGCAGGCCTCCGATCACACGGTGGGAGAGGGATACCACAGAGACCCGAGTTGTTGATAAAGCTACGAGCTTGGAACGTCTCGAACTGGCCCATTTCGGGGATCGTCCCATTCAAATCATTGCTCGACATGTCGATTTCAGTTAACAGGGAAAGCCCAGTCATGGAGTTTGGTATCGAACCTTGGAGTTCATTGTTGGAGAGGTCCAAAATGTTGAGTCCCTTCAAGTCACCGAGCTCCTGAGGGATGTTGCCAGATATGTTATTGTGAGCCAAATTCAGAATGTAGAGATAAGACATTGTTCCGATCTCCTTCGGGATGGTACCCGTCAACAGATTGTACGAGAGGTCGAGGAAGATCATCGACCCGTTATCATTGAAAGTCGGCTGAGTGTGACCTCCATAGATTCTGGTGAAGTTGCAAGGATGGCGAATGGAGATTCTGTCCAGATTCTCCGGCCTAATCCCCGCGAATTCGAGCAGGTTCCCAGTCCCATGACAGTGATCGGAGTGATCATTCTTCAAGTAGACGTACCTCTTCCCGGTAATGAAGTTGACTGCAATGTTGCCCGATTGCTTGAAGAGCTCCGGCGGGATTGTACCGTTGAGGTAATTGCTGTTGAGGTCCAGCCATATCAAGCTCTTGCAGTCGCCGAGCTCCGGAGGGATTCGGCCAATAAGGGAGTTGTTGCTTAGCTTGAGAATGGCGAGGCTGGATAGCTGGCCGATCGACGGCGGGATTTCGCCCGTGAACTTGTTGTTTGACAGGGAAATCCAGTTCAAATTTGTGCAGCTGCTAATGCTGGCAGGGATGGTACCTGAGAGCTCGTTGAAGTCGAGAATCAGAGTCTCGAGAGTTTTGATGGACATAATCTCCAGAGGGATTTCGCCATGGAGCTGGTTGAACCAGAGCTTCAAATCCTTGAGGTTATGGAGCGAGCCCAAGCTGGGAGGGATTGTTCCCGTGAGGTAGTTGAAGCTCAAATGGAGAGATGTGAGCTGCGAACAGTTACTCAATGCCGGAGGAATTGCGCCGGTGAACTGATTATTCTGAAGATAGAGCTCCTTCAATCCTCCATTCGGGTTATTGGAGCAGAGCGTACCCGGGATTTGACCCTCTAATTCATTCGAGCTAAGATCTAGAGACTCCAAATTGGGCATTTCGGAGAAAGAATCGGATAACCCACCGACGAAATTGTTGTAAGACAAATCAATCTTCTTCAAACGGCTCATTTTCAAGAGAACAGACAGAGGGATTTCGCCGGTGAAATTGTTGACGGAAATGTCGAGACTTTCCAGTGAAGTGCAGGAAGCCAGAGACGGAGGGACGGAGCCGGAGAGATTATTGGTAGAGAGATCGAGAGTAACAAGACCTGGACAAGCCGAATCGACGAGCTGCGAAGGAATCCCGCCGTGGAAATCGTTTCCGGCGAGGGAAATGAACTTCAGGTTCGCCGCCGGGATTCCCGCCGGGATTGGACCAGAGAACAGGTTGGTGGAGACGTTGAGGTAGCTGAGCTTGACGCACGGCTTAATTGCAGCGGCGAGATCGCCGGAGAATTTGTTCCCGGAGATGTCGAGGTGTTCCAAAACAGAGCAATCCCCGAGGGAAGGAAGCCCGCCGCCGGTGAAATTGTTCGCCGATATGTCCAGATACTCCAGATTCCTGCAACCCGAAACATCGACCTCGCCGCCGACTTTGTTCCCCTTCATCGCCAGCATCTTCAACTCGCCGCAACCACCGCCGCCGAGCAAAAACGACACGACGTTCTGCCCGACGAGCTTGTTCCACGAAAGATCAAGCGACTCCAAACCCGCAACAATCTTCAACCCGCCGTTCCACTTCTCCTTCACCGAGAAATCCAGAGCGTTGCCGGAGAGATTAAGGGACTTCAAACCGGGGCACGCGGCCAGACCCGAAACATCCGAAACGGGACCCGACAGAGAATTCGTCGACAGATCTAAGCTGGTCAAAACAGAGCTGCACTTAGATCCGGGAGGAAACGCTATGGACCCCGAGACGTTGGCCGATTGAAGGGTCAGGGTCTCGAGGGAGTCAATCGAGAGGAGAAATTTCGCTACGGTCTGGAAATCGGCGCTCAGGGGAGAGAAGCTGAGGTCCACGGCGGAGACTCTGTTCGCGGCGAGGCCTTGGCATTTGACGCCATTGAAGGAGCAAGGGTCCTGATTGGGGAGCCAGTTGGAGAGGAGAGGCGGTGGGTTGGGTAAGGCGGCTTTGAAGCTGATTAGACTCCTGCCGTCTCTGGCCGCCGCCGCGGCGGCGGGTGGTGGGAGGTGGAGAGAGAGGAAGGAGAGGAGGAGAGGCAGAAGGGAGAAATGGTGGGGTTTCTTCTTGGTCTGCATCGGATTTCTGGGAGATGGGTTTTTGTGGGTTTTGTGGCCTTGGTTCGGCGAGAGGAGAAAGAGGGAGTACTGGTCGGTAGGGGATAAACAAGAGGGGGGCTAGGGTTAGGAAACCGCCATTAGAGGCAGAGCTCTGAGCTCTGGTTTTAGTGAGAGAGAGCGAGTGATTGGAGAGGGAGAAGAGAGAAGAAGGTCAAAAGACGAAGCAAGGAAGGTAAAGAAAGGGTATTTATCAAAGTGAGAAGGAAAAAATGGACACAGCTGTTGTTGCTCACATGCCATGTGCTACTGCCTGCTCCTCCTCTCTCTCTCTCTTCTGCAACTTCTCTCTCTAGAAATCAATCTCCATTCTTGTGTACTATTTTATTTATGAACCCAATTAATTAAATTAAATTTTATTACTTATTTTAAAGATTTAGTATTTTTCTTTTCTATTTTTTGTCTTCTTGTTCTATATATCATTTTTCTTCAATTGGGACATTTCCATGGCACTCCTCTTTTAGTTATCTTTTTAATTTGGCCATTTCTAAGCTGTTTAGGGAATGGTTAAGGACTAATAATTAGAAGAAACTATGTTTGGGAAAGAAAACTATTGTTAGGATCATCTACTCAAATTATCGATTGATTTTGTATTAAGTATATATTAATATTTTAGCTCGTACTGATTTGTTGGATGCCTATGCAACTTGAAATTAGTTAACCTTATGAATCAAGTTCCCAAATGGTACAATGGTCGGTAGACAAGCTTATGTCGGGAGTAAAGCTTACTAATTAATTCGTACAACTCAAACGAGTGGGGATGAAGAATGGTAATAACATAAGACTCACTCTTGATTGAAGGATACGGACTCCATCGATCGAAATTTTGCTCCAACAGAATTATCATTAATCTGGAACCTGAAGATTCCAAACTCGAATCTTTCGCATATCCCTCTTAAAAAAAAAATATTGACTTCAACACTCATAACATGGAATTCTTCTGGTAAAAGCCGCCATCAAACAAATTTGGATTCACTGTAATAAGAAATGTATTTAATGATAAACCTATTACAGAAGGATGATTAATGGCGGCTTCCTCACCTTAATTATTATCTCACTATAAAACTCTTTCTTTCTTCTGCCTGTTTCTCTCTCCTCTGCCTCTATCTCTCTTTTTAATTTCTTGTGCTTAATTGTTAATCCTTGGAGATTATATGTTTGTTGTTTCTCTAAGCATATGAGGAGGGCAGGGGGGGACAACATTATATATATTATATTAAACCCACTTTTTTAATTAATTAGTCAATTAATTAGCCTCACTCTTCCTAAGATTCAAAGTAATTAGTACTACTTAAGTACTTTTGTTTTTTCCTTTGTCTCTTTTTATCACTATGTCTTTATAATATGCAAAAGAAATTGGGTTTCTATGAGTGTACGTGTGGGATAATGAACTAATATTGAACAATCACTATCGTTTTATGAGAAAGGAGATTCCATCTAACCCCAACTATAATAATAACAAATTTACTAATAAGAAACCTTTTGGGTCACGAGGGATTAGTCAAATTGAATTTCTTTTTTTATTTTATTTTTCTCTTTGTTTAGATCTTGAAATTTTTTTACATGCAGTACAATTTCATGAGTAGTTTTCATGTGGGCTTATTATTGGATGATCATTTCACATATTTTTTCTTATAAATATTCACCAAGTTGATTAAATATCTTTGTTATATGTGCATTATACCATGACAAGCTAGATTATTTGGTAAGGGTACTCAGATCTATTCGATCGGTCTCTCGTTAAATCAATTCTCATTGACTTTCAATGAACAAAAAGTGGCTTTTGATATGGTCATCCCATCAAAGTCAGAGTCTCGCTCCAGTAGCGCCACTAGGACAGGGCCTTGGTCTCGTAGTTGTCATGCTTGACCCTTTATTCTGGTTCATAAAACTTCCAAGTTTAGGTCTTTCGGTCGACTTATTTTTCAAGCAAGTCTCGAGTCGTGCAAAACCAACATAGATGATAGACCTTAGATCCCGAGTTTCTATTAATAATTGAAGCGCAAAGACGAAAGGAGCCTTTACTTAGCCACTCGAATTCTCTTCTTCTTCCCATGTGTTCCCTCACACACCTTTCTTTTCCCCCACACATAATGCATAGAAATGGAGCCAAAAGGTTAAAAAAAAGGTTTGCATTATCGTTCGTCGAGAAAAGCTCCAATAGTTTGATTTAACATTCCCTAAACTTTCTGCCAAAATATCTCATTAATCATGTCATTAGCCTTTGTCATTAGCATGCTCCCAATTCCCCATGATTTGAGTTTAAAGCAAAGTGTAAAAATCCTCTCAATCAATTCTATAGACCAGATAATAAAGTACAATCACACATGTTTTATCCGATCAGTTTCAACTTGTTTTAGATGGGTTGGAAGAGCATGAATCGTTTTACCGCTCTGGTTGACCTTATTTAAACTTATTCTCGAGCACTTTTTGTAACTTCCATATTGTGCTTACCCAAATTATTAATAGTTTTAACTTTGCCACAACTATCATTTGACTCTTAAAGTGATGACTATCATTATGTGAGAGTTTTCATTTCTCAAACAAGTTGGTTCCGCTTATCATACTATGTTCTCAATTTGGTAAACTATAGATAATTTATTGGCATTTGAATAAAATAAGGAGTCGTTCGGATGGATCAATTTAGAAATGAATCAATTTGATCAATTGTCTCGTTTTACCTATTTAATTCTCATTTATTAACTTTTCCTTCTTTTTTTTATTTTTTTTAGAAACAGAATCCATGAAAAGGAAAATCCCTAACTCTTTTGAAAAAAGTGTCTTTAAAGTAATTTTCCTAAAAGAGGCATCCTAACAATTTTACATCTTATATATGACAAAATGTTATTATGGCGACAGAACTTACCAAAGTGAAGGGTTTGACACCATCAGCACCACTTCTGTGGCGGCCAACAAAACTCAATGGTGACGTTAGAAAGGCCATATGATGATAACAAAAAAAAAAAAACAATATTTTAGTTAATATTGTGACATTCATTTACAGATATATCGAATAATTTTTAATAATTTTTTTCATGCTATGGAGATGAGAAAAACAGTAACATGTATAAAATTTTCGATATATATATGATATGTCCAGAAGTTCTTGAAGAAAAGTCGAAGAGAAGCTCATCGTAATCAAACCAGGTCTATAATGCTCATAGACACAAGGTACTCAAGGGCTTTGAAAGACATTCACATTTGATGCATCTATCTATAAACAAAATTAACTTTTATGGATGAGACATCACTACGATGCATCCAGTTTTGCAGACGTCTATGTACGAATCTTAAGTCTCAACTACTTTTTTATACGCCTCCTCAAACGAAAACAAACTCACGGACTTTAAGTTTGCACATGCCAGATATACCACGCGTTTCAAATCAACAGTTAATATTGGAATCTGCGAAGACCGGAACATGTGGCCTCAACAACAAACCACTTCTGAAAACCATGTCAGCTTTTTTTCTTGTTGAAAATCCTAATCACCTTGGTGGCTTTAGCTTCATATAACAACTTATATAGCTAGAACAAGTGGATGCAATGCCTCTGTTGAGATTTGAGTACACTACTTGACAACTTACCCAGAAACAACATCACTCTGGCTACGACTACTTCTTGTGATTAACGAGTTGGACTTCTTATTCATTGACGAGGATTCAACCTTGTTGAGCCGCGAGAAAATCCGTTGTTTTACCCTTATACCTACCCCTCAAAGGTAGATGTATGCATGAATCTGGCCTTACATAAAATTTTAGTTTGTACTCTTAAACATCGAACGTTTGTTTATAATAAGATCCAATTTAGCACTTAGGTTGGTCAATAAAGTATGGGTTACACTTTCATTTTGCAATAGATTCCCCATAAAACCTGTTGGGAGCAGGTCCAAGAAGAACATGGCGACAGCATTATCTGCACAAATAATGGTTAGTTGCATATTAAGTACTATTGGATATGAAAATCGACACCAATTATTGCTCCCCTAATTGGCAAATGAAGAGATATAAAGTAGACTCAATATGGATCTAGCCATCGAGTACTAGACTAAAGAATTCACGGTATGGTTTGTTTGTCTTCACCAAAATTTAGTTGAATGACTAACAAATCACGAAAGAAACGAGTCAAAGCGGAACAAATTGTTCTATTTATGAGGTACATATCGATCGATATCGCTGAAAATAGATAGGAGTATGAACGGATAAAGAACAAAGCAACTCAAAACAAAAACAAACAAAAGAATAAATTCATTATTTACATCGTCGTATCGATAAAATTTTATCTTACCCACTCAAACTAAGTTGGAATATATCGGGTGAGGCGAGTTAATTCATAATTCTTATACCTATTATTCTTTGGATTTTCATGCTTGTGTTAGCTTAGATGGATAGTCAAGTTACCATAAACACTCCCCACTAGGAAAGTTTTTTGTTATTAATACATAATATTCTATGGGTCCTACATACAACAATTAATATAAAAAAAAATATATAAGTCTTATAAATGCAACTATGCATCTACTCACACGTGTGGTTGGAGAAACTTTCCTTCTTTCCCTAACTTATTCTACAGTTGAAGTGATCAAATTGCACTTAAAGCCATATTTATTTCGGAGCCTAACAATAATAGTGACCAAAACCTATAATTGGTTGGATCATTGACAAGGGAGCTCCTATTTTTTTTCCCCCTTCGATTAGGTATGGAAGTGTCAACTAATTCCAAACTTCTCTATCATTAAAAGTTTCCACTTCAGAATTGTGGTTTTATGTCATGTATAAATATATTATTCATCTCCATTTGTTTTCCCACACGCGTTCCCGTTTTTTCATGTTTCATATCAGATTACACGAATGAGAGTGAATATCATAGAGAAATAATTACCGAATAGCGTGGAAAATTGCGAAGCAAAAATGTCATTTTGTAAAGAATGCTGGAAACATATAACTACAAGTATTTAAGTTGTTAACTAGTTTGATTGGTAGAATTCTATTGACCATGTCTATGCTGATAAGAGATCTTGTGAATGGTTTCATTACCTATTAGAGTATTTGTCAAATATTAAGTTGATGCGAGATGAAAGAATTGCATAGATATGATGAGTGACGACGTTGAATTCGAATGCTGGAATTTTTCCCCTAATAAAACCCCCTAATAAAATCAGTACTTCAATCACCTGTACTCCAACTTTATCAGTCTCACCTCGCTCTTTTTATTGGCACGCAAATCGTATACGTTGATGGGTAATAATAACCAAACCTGTTTACACTAGACAAACACTCCAAAATTTTTGGTTATGCCCCGCTCAATGTATAATCCGATGTCAGCTGGTTTGAGTATCTATAGGGCACAAGTTTAATCTCATTTTTTGAACTTCTATACTGTGTAACTCAACAATACCATACCATATTACAAACACGAGATACAACTTATGACAAGATATAAAATGCTATAACATTTTATAAATAAAGAATATATCATATATTTTTTTTATTTATGTTCTACACATATACACGCGAAAAAATTCAATATTTTCGTTATTTTTAGCGACGAAAATATTATGGGACCAAAATTTCCCCACTCCGTTCCCTTGTTTTCCTCACCAGTCACCACCACTCGTGTGTAAACTACATATATCCAAAGCTGACGCCGTGCTTCCACGTCAACAATCCCACGTTCCGTTATGGCGCGTGGAGAACGGTACCCTTTTCTCCTTCTCTCCCTCGTCAGCCGAGCCGCTAGCCAACCTTCCGCGTGTTTTCCACGCGATGATGGCCGCTGATTGGGGGATTGGACGGTCACGATCTATCTGGGGTGAAAAAAAAGATCTTTCGACATGAATAATTGATATCCGGCTCGGTTCTCCTTGGTCCAGACCAGGTTGGGCGAAACCGGTCCATATCAATCCGGCTACTATACTAAACCCATTTGACGTTAGGATTAGGATGCCCTAGCGTGAATAGTTTGTCACCATTTTTTATGGATATTTTAAAGCACAATTGTTTCACGATTTTATTTCACCTCTCTAGAAAATCAGATGGAGCTCGATCGGTATTATGCTAGAGAACAAATGGGTCTACGTTATGTTTGTACCAGTCGATTATTCTTCGTTGTGGTATTTTATGTCTCGCTAAATCTAGAAGCTTATGGTAGATAGCGAATAACCGAGGAGTTCTCAAC